TGTTTGGTAGGTTCCTCTACTACTTGGGGTTCTATCTGGTTTAATTGGGCTTTTTGGTAGGTTGCTCTACCACCTGGTTTTTCTTGGGGTTGTAGCAAAGCTTCTCTAAACCTTCGTTGCCGTGGTAGCGGAACCCATAGGCACATGTTCGGAGGAGTTCCTGCGACGGTTGGACGCGCTTTGGCACGACCTGCCTTTGGCATTCAAGGAGAGGGCTGCTCGGAGCCAGAGAGTTGATCAAACACAGCCGCTTCCTTCGGTTTTCTTCGGTTTCGCATAAAGCCAACCGGGTATGTATCAAAATGGGGATTTGGACCCCAAGGATGGCTTTCGTGTTGACTTCCCAGCGAACCAAGGCGCAAGGGGTACCTCCAAGACACTCACCCAAAGTTCTAGCCTGCAGGAGATTCGCCAAGCACCTGCCAAAAGCAAGGGTTTGGGCTAATGTCCAGCGGAATGTCCAGCAAGCGTTTGTGACACTCTGGTGCCAGCTTAACATGAAAACCACCACAGTTTTTGAGACGTTTTGGTCAACCTCCCATGTGTTCAGTTGCAGTTTCTTTTCCGCGAGCCCTGGCTTGCAGGAGAAGGCGTCTCCTACGGACCGCGCCTACTTCGACGACGTGGAGGGCTGGGTGACCTCCGCCCTGGACGTGGCCATCAAAGCCAGCGGCCTGCCCCACGCTGTAAGCGCCACTCGCTAGCACCTGAAACTCTTCAAGATGAGATGCCTCAAATGGGGTGATTTCCAGTTCAGGGCTAGAATTTGTTCAAATCATGGGGTGATTTCCAGTTCAGGGCTAGAATTCTGCCTTTGACCATGAGCAGCAAACGCGCACATTGCTGGTCTCTGATCCAATAAGCCTTGGGTGTGCTCCAACTGTCAGCATGCTCCAGTTCAGGGCTAGAAGTTGAGGCTGAGGTCATTGTTTTTGAAGTTCCCGAGCACGACTACAGGCCATGTCCCGCATGCGATTTCTGATCTACCCGGAGCCGGGGGGCGCGCTGCCTGTGCATGTGGATCTGCCGCGCACCGACGCGAGCCTCCGCAGCTTGCCTTGCAGATCCCGCATGTGCGGCTGTGCGGCTGTGCGGCTGTGCGGCTGTGTGTGTGTGTGTGTCGGTGTGTCGGTGTGTCGGTGTGTCTGTGTGTCTGTGTGTCTGTGTGTCTGTGTGTCTGTGTGTCTGTGTGTCTGTGTGTCTGTGTGTCTGTGTGTCTGTGTGTCTGTGTGTCCGTGTGTCTGTGTGTCTGTGTTTTGGAGCTTTGGTTTTTGGTTTTCCTTTCTTTTTTAGGTTTTGGGTTAGTTTTGAAGGGTTGGTTTTGGGTTAGTTTTTGGAGTTGGCATTTTTGGGGTTAGCTTAGGGAGACTATGGTTTTCGGATTTGTTTTTTCGGTTTTGGGGTTGGTTTAAGGTTGGTTTAAAGGAAACCCACCATTTTGGGGTTCCCCTATTTGGACACACATACACATATGCCTCGACAAATGACAACAAGCAGAACCGATCTGGGGGCTAAACGAGGTTGTACTGAGGGGTCCAGTTTGGGAATGTTATTTTTTACCCAGATACGTGGCCTTTTAGTTTCGGGATGACTGCTCGCAAGACATTCAAATCTTTAAGGTAGAGTTTGAGAGCATGTTCCTGGCAGTGAGACGCTGCTTTGTTGTGCTGGATCTCGGATACTCCTTCAAGTCAATGGCTAGGGTACTCTTAACAACAAGAACAACAACAAAAACAAATCGCTTGGCAAACCAAAGGGGGCCTCACCCCTTTGGTTGGGCCTCCCGATACACGAGAAGACTTCGAGCCAGAAACGGAGCCTCAGTTCCCTCGACAGCTTGAGAGGCTTTCCTTGGACAGTGACATGGAACCTTCGGAGACTTGAAACCCTAAGTAGCGAAGCGCGCTCGACTTCGCCGAGGTAGCACCTACACTTTCCTGCTGTATTTGAGCGACTGTTCTGGTGGCGCGACTACCTTCCTGGAGTCTTGGCACTAAAAGTCGCACTGCTCGTTGAGTTTTTGGAGACCGAGGGATTTGCGGTACACACCAAAAACATGACCTTCCAGGGATCAGCGAACCACGATACATGTTTTTCTCTGAGTTGGTACCCTTTTTAGTAGTTTTCCAGGAACACTAAAGGATCACGTTTTGCAAGGGATTTCCACATTTGCAGGCAATCCCATTGAGGGGTCAGAAACCTTTAGTCTACTTGCCATGGTTGTAAGTTCCTGTGTGAGTTGCAACCGTGGCTACTGCACTACTAGCCCCTTGCCTTTCCAGGAGGGTTTCTCTCGGATTGAGATAGGAGTATGTCTGGACACTATGTGGTTCAACGTGGTGCAGGGAATTGGCCTGACCTTGGCGGAATTCAAGGATGCCTCCTTTAGAATTGTTCACAATATCCTTGATGAACATCCCCCTCGAATTATCCAAGTCCCCTTTTCAGGGATCACCGAACCACCAAGATAGGAAACCTATCATCTTGTGTATGTTGGTCCAAAATCAGCAAGGAATGCTGTACTCAGATTTGTACATCCGGCCATTCGACTATGCCAAGCCTTTGGATTTATTGGTTTTGAAATCGAACAATGTGAGGACCCCTTTTGGCTGGATGGTTGGGACCATGTAGAACGTGGTTAAAACCAGAAATATACATGGTTCCCAAGCACGTGCTGACTACGTGGCGCACCCTGCCTCACGTAAGGACCTAGAGTATATTAAATTGATATGAATCATACTTGGCGTTTCAGCATGTTCAAAAAGGGGATTGCCCCAACCCTTGTTGGCTTCACTGTCTTTTTTTTGAAAACAAGGAGTCGAAGAACTTGAGGGAGCTCATTTGGGAGGGTGAGCCAGGAGTCCTTGCCCGGGGACGCCCTGCTGGCACCCTCCGGCGGCGTGGCTGCGGACGACGCATTTTCCCGGCGCCCGGTGGCGGCGGTGGAACCGCGGAGAGGACGGCTGCTGCTGATGCCGCACGCGTGTCCACACCTGGCGGCGCCGGTGGTGCAGGTGCCCAAGGCCCGGACTGGAGATTTGACGATTGGGGTCGCCCCTTTTCAGATACGAAAGACTTCCATTTCACCTCGGAAGAGATGGTTCTTTTCCTTTTTTGGTCTTGAAGGGAATCTGGCCCTACGGGGCATACCTATATTTTTTCCAGGGGGCTTCAGCAAATGGAAGAATATGGAACAGAATCAGAGTTGAAAATGCAGGAGGGCGATGCTAAGAGTCAAAGACACCAGTTCGCAGAACTTCGTAGAGCCCTCCATCCCTTCGCAGAATGCTCTTGGGGCTCGTGCAAAATGCCCCTTACCTTTTTCAGCTTTCCACTGACCCCCTGGTTCGCACTGACCCCTGGTGGGTTCGCAGAAGTTCGCGACACCCTTTTTTGCACATTTGCAAAACTAAGTTCGCAGAAGGTGCCGCCTTTGCTTTCAACAGAGTTTTTCCTCTTAGAATTTCTGAATATGTTTTTGGAGTAATTGCCCCACATGTCGGCCAAGAAAAGAGTAACTGCTTCCCTTCAGATTGACGTGGAACTTAGAGAAGGGTCTTGCAAAGGAGATTCCTCCGAATAGGATGGATTTGGGGGTTCCAGGTGAATATGCAATGTTTTGACATGCCATGATTCGAGTGCGCGTGTCTTTCTGAGGATACCAGTTTTAGTCTCAACGGGAAACCAAAAGGACACGTCCAATAGGGGACCTCCAACTTGATACATGGCCATTTGAGTCATCAATTGCCAGACTTAGGGTCTGGTTCTGGGGAAGGGGTGGAGGGTTTGTGGGGGGGGGGGGGCGGGGGCGTGGAATGTTGGCTCCATGGGTTTGTTACCAAGTTACGTGGAACAGTGGTACCTTAATTCCCTTTACGGGGAGTGAGCCTCATTCTTGGGTCCGCAGGCTGTGGGGGATATCACCCGAGCTTTTTTTTGTGTCTTTGGTGTTTTTCAAGCGACACCAGAGGAACACCACCTTTTTGAAAAAAGGTGGTCTCCAAGGATGTGTTTGGGGTGTCAGCCCACGAGGTGCTTGTGCGTGGGGAAGTGCTGCCATCGGCTCCCTGCGAGCCCTTCCTGCCGCCGCCTGCCGATGGCTTTCAGACCGAGCTGAGCGCCATCGCGGACGGGGTGCGGACCTGCTTTCCGCAGAAAAGCGGCAGGCGTCATTGGTGCGTGTTTTTGTTGAGGGGTACCCTTTGTGGATATTTAATGTATATATATAGGAAATATGTACATATATATATATATATAATGTATTTTTTTGGAGTTGGTGCCACCCGTGGTGTGGTGGTGGTGGTGGCGGTGGCGGCGGTGTGAAGGTTCACATGGGCACCCCTGCAAAAAAAAGGTGCTTGCAGAATTGCCTTGGTTCAGGTTACGTGTGGATCCGACTCAAATTGTACACCTCCTCCTTCCAGGCGTTCAGTTAAAACTAAGAGGAAACCCCACCACCGCCACCACCACCGCCACCACCACCGCCACCACGGAGAAAGAGGATTTCGTGACCTCCTTTGGGCCTCGGTTCTATGGGTTTCCCTGGCACCGAAATTGGCAGAAGCTGGGCCTCAAAGGCGCCAGGAATCTCAACCCATGGGCCTCAGCCGCTATCTGTTGGGCCCGCAGTCCTCTTGGGCTCGGACCTCCTGTTCGCTTGCAGAGAGGTCACTCATGGCGGTGTCCTTCTTCCCCAAACTCTAAGATGGTTTCCGAAGCCCCCCAAAGAGCAGAGGCGGTGTCCTTCTTCCCCAAAATCCCACAAGAGTATACATGCGGCCACCCCACCCCACCACACCCCACCCCACCCCCACCCCCACCCCCACCCCCACCCCCACCCCCACCCCCACCCCACCCCACCCCACCCCACCCCACCCCACCCCACCCCACCCCACCCCACCCCACCCCACCCCACCCCACCCCACCCCACCCCACGCACCAGCGTATGGCCAAGATCAATCGGTCGCATCTCCGATGTCCCCTGCAGCCTTTCCACTGAGGCCAGGGATCCCGAAGCCTCGGGTCCGCAACTGGATCCTGCAGGCCAAACCGAGAGAGTGGCGGTTGCATTTTTTTTCCGAGGGGCCCCTCTCCCCTGTTTCGTGCCGTTTTTTTTTCAGGGACCGAGCCTCTCCCCTGTTTGGAGGGCCGTATTTCTGGGCTGACTTGTTTTTTTTTTTTGTTGGTGAGTTTGAGGTTGTCAAAGTCGGCTGGGGGTGTATCCCTTTGACTATGGCTCAATTGGGCTGTGAATCCGATCCCTTTCGCCGGACACCAAGCACAGAAGACCTTCATTTCGCAGAATCTCACCCCATTTTTTTTTTTTTGTTGGGGGGGTGTCCCCAAAAGGCAGCATTCGTGTTATGTGTCCTCTTCTTCGGGCCCTTACACAGAATATTATGCATGTTTGGTGTCCTGGCTTGTTTTTCCCTTGAAGCCAAGCGAACGTTTTCCCGTATCCAGCGAGGCACAGAAGGTATTGTCTGGACAGCGGCCACTCGTCGTGGGACGTGCTGTGCTCATGCCGCTTGGCACATGAGGTGCTGGTTTTATGTGACATGCCAGGCTGTGCCACCTTGAGAGGGAATTCGCATCATTTGCCGCTTCTCAAGGGATTTCGTGCGAGTATTGGGGAATGAACCGTTTGGCGTCCCCGTGAAGGAAACCCACAGTTGGATGGTTCCTCGGGGTCAATCCACGTCATTTCCCATTGAGAGCCCTGACAAAGACTCCGAAAGCCGACCGTTGTGGCGTCGCTCCGAGTCAGTCGACGGCCAACCTTTGGAGCTGTTGCTTTCTCCACTCGGTCTTGTTGAAGAAACTGCAACCCAGAAGGCTCATCGATTTGTCGAGTTTGCAGCTCTGAACTTTTATAGAAGGTATCGTCATTTTTGGCCAAGGCCCAAAGAATTTGCAAGTTTCTTCTGGCCAGTCAACTCAGCAGCTTAGGCCATGATTTCCGGGTCCTGTGGCCTGTGGCCCAACCCAATGTGAGCCACTCACAATCTTATCACTGAACTGGTGGTTTCGGGCCCGGGACATGCGGGGGGGACAGGCCCGAGGCCCGGACAGCGCAGGTTTCCTATGTCCTCAGTCATGTGTGCCACTCAAACCTTGACGGATGGTCATCCAGCTGGTAGAAAAGGTCCTTTATAAACGCTACAGTATTCTTACAAAGGAGACCACGAACGGGGTTTTGCCCGTTCACGTGACGCTTGAGATCCCTAGGTGGTCGAGAAGCTTTGCTCTCTACTTCAAGGGCGTGGAGGACCGAAGTTGCTGTCCAGGCCTCGTTTGGCCTCAGTTGGCCTTTGGGCTCAACTTACGTAAGTTTGCCCTGCTCCCCCAACAATCCTCAAGGCTTCTAGACTCCGAATCGTTGCAAAGGCTGGTTGGTGGTTGGTGGTGGGGTGCTTCCAACGCCATTCTCCCAGGGTGTTTCACTTTCGAACAGGTCTGGCGCTTTTTGGATTCGCTCGGCTTCGGAGGCTCCTGTTTCTTGGGATTCGCTTGGGAAATCTATCAGCGCAGAGCCTGTTAGCTGTTTAGGCTTGCAGGGGCCCCTGTTCTGTTGATTTGGGGGTGAGGAAGAGAATCATGGGGCCAGCAGTTGCAGTTGAGGGGTTGTCAGAGGCAGAAGCTGGGAGCGTTTCAAACAATCAGATGGGCGTCATTTGCCTTGCACCTACTTCCCGCTTGAGCTGACGTTGATGAACCAAAACATGGGGCCAGTTGCAGGATTGTCCGATTTGCTACAACGTGATCCAGCTCACCACGCAAACCATCCCCCGAAAGGCAGGCTAAGCCGCTCGGCCGGCTAAGCCGCTCGGCAGCGAGTTTTATAGTCCTAGTGGACATAGGGCATGCGACAACAGTAGGTCGCCCAGATTATGTTGTCCAGCTGGCTGAGTTTTTGCAGAGCCGCGGTTGAACAGATGTTCGGTTGCCGTAGAGGACAGAGGAGAACCCTCGCCGACGGATGTGTGTGGGACAATTGGCGATCCCTTCTCGTCTCCCCAAAGGCTAAGCAGTTGGCTGAAGCTCACCCCAGACCGAGCCGCTTCGACGGGCGCAGGGGTCACCGGGGTGCACAGGCATCATGGTTGCGGGCATGTTTGGTGGCTGAAGCATCGCTTGGGGCCATGAAAAGGACATGTATCGGTTTCAACTTGGCGGTTTAAACATTCGCTTGCTGGGCATTTTGGAGGATGCACTTTCTGGGTGTGGTGATATTTTGTGGAGACAGGAGCCCCTTCGGGCTTTCTTTTGGATCCGATTTGAGTCGAATCGCCAGGCGTGCCCCACCTGCAAGCACAAGTTCCACGACAAGCCGCGGCCCCAGTCGCAGTGGAGCCCGGCGCTACCTGGTTCAATTGGGCCACAATCAAAACCCGGGTAGATGAAGGTTAGTAAGGGGCAGTCCCAGCCGGAAATAGTTTCGGCCGCCTTTCCAATTCTTGAAGCATGGTTCTGGGTGAACGCCAAATTTTGGCACCGATCGGTTTTGAGCAAGTGACTGAATTGGGCTTGTGGGGCTAGGGCTTTCGAACCATGTTCGAAGGCTCAGTCCACGGGGCTCTCTCCAGTCAGCTCCCCGTGTTACGAGTGGACCGAGCTGGCAGCTGGAAGATTCCGGGGGAGGGCGCGAAGATTCCGGAGCCCCAACCTTGCCACGGCCTCTTCAGAAAGCAAGTAATGTTCTGTTGGGCTATGGGGGATGTGTAGGGGTAAATTCCCTGTTCTGATCCAGGGATTCGATTTTTCCCAGTGGTCAAAAGGCCCAGTTTTGAAAATAATGATGGTTGAACAGTTGCCCACCCTGTCGGAAGGGTTTTGTAAGGGAAGCCGAAGGCACATTGTTGCCATTTGGTGGGAGGTCCAATTCCTATTTTGGGAACCAATTCGTTGAATCTTTTCCAGAAAGCCACGAGTCCCAAAAGAAATCGTTGTCATTTGGTGCATATGGGTACGTGTTAGACGACCCCTCAAATGTTGGCGGTTTTCCTTTTGTCCTTCAAAACAATCAAATAAGGCGTACCCACAAAAACTGGACGCCCACATCTTCCCATTTTGGGAACCGTTGACCAATTTGGGGGGAGGAAGCCAGGCTTCGGGGCAGTCATGGGCAGTCGGCTTGGCCGTCGTCTCGCTGAGGTGCCTCTACCAATGGTTCAGGACCTCATCCAAGACCACGTGCCCCTTGTGCAACCAACCGCAGGGAGCTCAAGGATCGAGGCGACTCGACAAGGGATGCAGATGATCTCCGCATGTGGGAACCGTCTTCTTGCCTTTTGCTCAGCAAGGAATGAGAAATGGAACGAACCTGAAATTCCCCGATAAATAGGAAGCCACCAGTTGGATGGTTAGGGGTCATGTCCTGATTCCCTCCAGCAAGTCTTCCTTGCCACGGTGGCCTCCCCCCTTTTCCGGTGGATGCCCTTAATATTGCAAGTACATCAACCACAAACTATGGGAATTGACATGGTTTATCTTGGTCTTTATTTGTAACATTTAGGGCATCCACCACACTGTGGACATGTCCTGCACAGTTTGGTAGGTCTGTTTTCCCTTTCGACTAATCTGGATCGCTCGAGGTTTTGAGCGGCACTGGGCATAAATCGCGCGGCGCTCAGAATTCGGAAGGCTCCTGAATCTGAGTCACGGGTGTGTGTTAAGATAGGGGACTGCAAAAAAAAAGTCTTTCCTTTGGTGTCGCTTTTCAGCCACGAACATACACAGGCACTTGGCAGGTTGTCAACAGAATGGCCCCTTCTTACACCCTGGCACGAGACACTCCCATGTTCATCTCTTTGGGGATTTGTCAATCTCACTGGAATTCAATCAGAGTTTCGCATTGAGGACGCAGGGGTTCAGGCCAGCAGTGCTTTAGCGTCTTTTTGTTTCGCCTCGGTGTCTTCCGATGGCAAAGAGAGAACCGCGTTTGCCTGTGGGCTCAGTTGTTCAGTGGCATCCGTTAAATCCCTTCTGTTGGGCGGGCTCCCCACAAAATCAGGTCAACTCTAAAAAGGCATCCCTTTTTCTACCAGGGTGACTGAACGACCCGGCGGATAAGGCCAATCTTGGCTCGGCATTGAGGTGCTGTTTTCGTGGACAGGCCCGCGGTCGCTCGCAGGAGTTTTCCGAACGGGGCAGAGGTCTGCACGGGCAGACGCATTTGGTGGTCACGACCTTCAGAATCCCACAAGGTGTTCTTCTATTTCCATTTTAATGTTCACTGAATGTTGATCAAGTTCTGAAGATATAGTTGTCAGTTTAGAGAACGCCCAATTTTGGGCACGTCCCAATTTTGGTGGGGCACTCCACGCCCCGCCTTTCGAAGAACTTCAGCCTTCGGCCGGGTCGGAGCCGCCGAGTGCTGTACAGCTGGCACCCGCGCGTGTAAAAATAACACGAGCGCGCGATGCTGCTGGGGTGTGTGGTAGCATTTTGAGCTGTTCTTAAACACATCCATGGTCGCACCATGGGGGTGATTTTGAGGATGTTCTCAATACGGTGGGAAAACGCTTTAACGCCCCAGAAGAGGTAATTTTGAGGGTGTGAGACCCAGTGGGTTTTGTTCAGCCAGGAGTGTTCGACTTGTTTTGGAGAGGCACATCCTTTCAACACAGAGGGTGATGGCCCTTTTAGAGTCTCCGATGGCCTCAAAACCCGGAACTGGCGACCGAAATTCTAGGCATGCACTTCCTGCCATGAAGGTCGGGGGGGGGGGTGCAAAACTTGATTTGTGATCAACACCGCTCAACACAAGTTGAGGGTCAAAACACTGCACCGACCCTAAAGATTGGTTTCTGTTTGGTGTCCCTATAGTTTTTTGGGCAGGTCCATCCGGATCGAGGTCCATTCGAACCCCTGTAAAGTGTATGGGTGTATGCGTGGAATTTTCCCAACCCACACCGATGCGTTTTTGGGCAGGTCCATCCTTTGTGTGTGTGTGTGCGTATCCTCCTTGAGTCCTTGTATGTCCCTCTCTGGTTGTTTGAACATCTCCCTGTCTGGACCAACGGCCAACGATTTTCTGTTTTGGTGGATGTTAGGGACATTAAAGGGAACCTTGCCCTGGCTTCGTGTCCTAATTCCGAGGTTGGCATTGCGTTGGAGGACGGATCCCTAACCTGCTTTCAGGGCCCAAGCAGGTAGAATGGAGGTCATTTGGGTGGGAAAGGGTCCGCAATAAAGCTGGGTATGTGACACGGATTGGACCCCCCCCTTTACCACGGTCAAAAGGCGCCTTGTGGGTGAGTCAACTGAACTGGTACATGCCTTGCAGCGTATGGTCCAAGTCCAAAGCCCTTCCCGGCCATGGTGATGGTGAAGCCTGTCCAGAGATGGGCTCCCCGTGCGCCTCAGAAGGCCCAACCAAGTGAAGTGAAGGACTCGCCGGCCGTTTTTTGGCACAGACCTGGAACCCGGCGATTTCGGTCTCCGGTTAGAAACCTCGATCCTCCACTTCCACATTTTCCAAATGGGTTTGTGATTCTGTGAGGGTGCCTTTTTCAGGCTGGTGTCAAGTTGGAAACCAAGCGTTGGAAACGGTCAATTTGGCTGGTTTCCTATTTTGACGCACACCCAGCTTTGCAACGCGCCTTGCTTTCCGCATTAAACCCTGGGCCTGAATCTAGAAGATTGTTCAGATGGGCTTTGTCTCAAATTGGGATATCGAGTTTGGGGGCGGCGGGAAATTGGTCGTTTTGATTTCCCTTGGTTTCCGATTCAACAAGCAAAACAGCATTCCAAAGAAGACCCATTCCCAGCGCATCCCAAGGTTGGTGTTTTTCTGGTTGTTTTCCCTTCAAAACAGCCCAGCAAGCAAAGACATATATATATATATACACTGTATGTCATGATATGTAGAAAGCAGGACCAAAAGAGTAGCCACAAAATCAGCCCAAAGATTCCAACAACATCAACCCCGTCAACAGCCTTCCGGAACCTCGTCTGACCATCTATCTGACCGGATCGAACCACTTTGGAGCCTATTTGGGCGACCACATGCGCGCAGGTCATGCCAGTGAAGCGGGTGGTCCAGAAGGCTCCGAAGGGAGCAGGGACTCTTGTGCTGCACCCGTATTGGAGCGAGTGTAGTACTTGGATGTTCATCCCATTTAGAAAAGAAGTTGTATCCTTGCTTATGAATGGGACAGGAGAGCAGAAGACGCTTCCAAAAAAGGCTCGGCTAGTGATTGCCCCAAGTGAAGATCACGACACCCCTTGCCAGGCCCAGGATTACCCTTGCTGAAACGTTTTCCAATCGTGGGAAGTGGACCTTTTGAAGAGAGTTGCAGTTGTCGAACGCCCTCCTCTCCACTTCCGTGATTCTTGAAATGCGGGTGTCTGTGTGTGCTCTTTCATTCTTTCAAAGGATCCTGGGTTTATTGACCCTCAACCTCTTGTTTTTGACCCATAAGCCACAAAGTAAAATAGAGATTTCGGGTTGAAGTCGTCTCCTTTCTGTTGCAACAAGTCCGACTCAATTCCTGATCACTTCCTTTGGGGGCTGTCACCTTTGCGATTCACTGAGGCATGGCTGGAGCACCGGTGTTGCATTGAGGGTTCTTCAAGGCAAACAACCCATAGGAACAGAAGGAACCCATCAGCCAAGGGGTCCGCCTCCATGCCGATAAATTCGGAGATCGGAACCCCAAAAAAATCCGAGGATTTTCCCAGGTGATCTGGTTGTGTGTGGGTTTTTCCCCCAAGACGGGAAGGCCTGTCAAGAAGGCATCAAGGTGATCACCTTTGAATTGTGCCCTTCCTTGAGGTTTATGTTTTTTCGGATGTCACCCTTTTTTGAAGTTTCCTGAAATGGACACCACATGAAACACATTTGTTTGTGTGGGTTCCCCACTTGGAGACAAACGCAAATGGGTTGACTTTCCTTTTGGGAGCCACCTCCCCCCCAGTCCCCAAATCAAAAGAGCTGCTTGAATAGATGGTTCTACCTGGTTTCAAGGAGATGAAGACCTTCCTGAACCATGTTGGCAAAGCCAAACAGTCAGCTCGGGCTTGGGCACTGCTGGCATTTCCTCCCGGCCATGGGGCACCACAATCAGTGAAGAAGCCATGACGAATCCGAGCGCTTTGCATCCCAAAACATGCTCTTAAGGCGGACCCATTCAAACATAAGTTCCCGCCAACACATTCATGCAGATATAACTACGAGGGAATCCAACATTCTAGGTCTCCCTCTGACAGTGTCTAAGGGGGAACCACTCTTAGTCGCATACGTCGCTCTGGGTGTCTCTTTTGTTGAGGGTATGTACCCGTTTCGTGGTCGGTTTAAAATGGAAACCAAAAGAACACCAGACTTCGTTTTGGGGTTCCATATCCCAGTTTGAGACAAACAATCTGTACCCCAATCTTGATGCAACCATTTGCCTTTTTCAAACCCAAAGAGCTTTCACTTCTGGGCTTCAATCAAGAGTTCGGACCTTTCACTTTAGTCTGTCCGGGCAAGATGGAAGAATACGAGAAGCAAAACAACCGCTTGCACTTTACGTTGCAGCTACCTATGTACCTCCTGGGTACATGCGGAACAACATAGATTATATACCTGTTATGTGTCCCTTGTATTGGTAACGCCCCCAGTTAAGCCCCCGCGAGCCCTCGTGACCAGGTTTGTAAGTATTTCGCTAATCCCTTCGCTCTCTACTTAAAGGGGCAGAATGAGTAAGTGGTCAGCAACCAAGGTTGCAAGTCCCCAGGGACCTGCAACCATGGTGAGTGGGTTATGACCCTGGCTAATCAAATTAAATTTATTCAGTAGCCCCTCTAGCAGTGCCTGGATGTGGCTCAAAGAAAATACGGTGCTCACTTGTGGCCCCTTGGAACCAAAGACCAAACCGGTTTGCCCCTCTTCAATTTGGAGCCTGAGGAAGGGCGGGTCATGGGTATTCATCCCGGCCGGCCAACCTGTGGATACGGCCCTGAGATCCTCTGCTGCACGAGGTCGCTTCAGTGTATTCCAAAAAGGGCCCCGCCTTGTTGGAACCAGCGGGAAGTACGGAATTGTTGGGTCCCCCTATTTTGAGACATCCCCCCAGGTAGATGATATTATTATTGCTTGATTCTTTTTAAACAGACATGCCCTTTCCGTGTTCTCTTTGTGGTTTGCCGAAAAGATGGATCCCTGGACAAAATAGGTAAGTTGCCACTTGCTAGACAAGTGACCCAAGAATGGGTGCCCCTTTCAAGCCGACAATTCGGACGCTTTCTTTCTGAACAACCTTCTTTCTGAACTTATTTGTGTGCTTCGCGTATTGAAAATCATGACCAAATACAGTTGTACCAGCAATTGATATGGCTCCTGGGTTACTGCATACACTGGGAGATCTTTGGAGCCGTTAGGGGGAATGTCAACTTGAACTAAATCCTAGAGTCCTAGAGGAATCTGCCGACGGAGTACTTTCCTATTGTAAGGGGCTTGCCCACCGCTGATTCGTTGATTGGTATGGCCCACTCGCTTGGCATTACACCTGCAGGGTAAAATTTTGGCGCGGTGCAAAATTATAGTTGTGTATGACAAATGTGGGAGGCACATGGGGGACTCACTAGATGTCCCATGAAGACCCGCGCGCACGAACCCGAGTTTTCCCATGAGTGCCGGAACCGAAGGCATATTTTGGCCGTGGCTCAGATGACAACAGTTAGATGCTGATTGGGAGCCACGGATTCGAGTCATTGCAGCCGAATAGTAACTCTTCGTGACCAATATGAACAATCCCGGGCCATCGCTTCGCATCCCGTGGCTTTGAACCAATCACTGACTTCCTGAGTTCCTGGGCTTGAGACTTTTCTGGGAAGGCCATTTTGGCGGTGAATCGAAAAATCGGTTTACGTGTTTTGGCCAATCAACTCGGGAAGTGAAAACAATATGGATACGGTCCTTTGAGGAGGGAAAGGTCAGCGAGCGCTTCAGAAGCCACTTGGCTGCGCGCAGGCTTCCGTCTCGTTTCGTTCAGACCTGGCCTTTCGGTTTCCAGCTAGTGAGCTGGAAACCCTGGTCTGTGCTAGGCAAAACGCGTTTTCGAAGCGTTTTGCCATTCGCCGTTCAAGCATGACACATTTTTGGGGAGAGCTTTGGACAGCCATGGAATGTACGGTCAAATCACCCAGCTTGGGGTTGGTGGGGATCACCGGTCACCGTAAGCATCCCCAGGAGCCAGTGCCATGTTTGGCGCAAGTTTTGACCATGGCACATATGAACAACTGACAAAAGCATAGTCTACTTTCGTTTTGGGGGAGGACAAGAAGGTGGACAACACAAACTGCCACAAAGTTTCTCCATGCGAACCGGCGGACCGGCTCCAATTTATCCTCCCTAGTTTCATGATTTTGCAGAATGCAACTCACCTTGTAACTTTCAGGACACGTTTTGGCTCCATTTCTTACCAAGCCGTTGTCGCGCGCTTTGACTCGATCCGTTTGGCCGCGTCTTTTGCGCAGCTTACTAAGGCAGCCATCCAAGTACGAGGAGAAGCTGCGGGCCACTGACCCCACACTCAAGGCGAGGAGCCATGACTTTCCAGCACTGTATTTAACTTCCATTTGCTGAAATGAATCTTATTTTCCCCTGTTGGTTTTAAAGGGAACCTATGACTACTGGACATTTCACATCTTTTTGTCCAGGGGACTGAAGCAAACTAATTGAGATTCACCAAATTGAGATTCTTGGTGACTCTTAGGGACATTCAGGACCATGGACCATTCGTGACCTTCCATGGCTTGGCTCCGAATCCGAATCCGTGGACTGAGCCAGAATCACCAAAGTAGGCAAAGGAGGGACATTCCCCTTGCAACAAAGTTTGGTGCGGGGACCCTCTTCCAACACTCATGGAAGTGGACGTTTTCGGGCCTTGAAAAAGGAGATGGTAGTTTTCCAACATCCTTCAATCGTGCACTTCCATGATTGCTGTCAAAGGGGCTGGGTATCCACCCTGTTCATTGGTTGCCACGGGTTTTGGATATCCTCCTTCACTAGGTTTTGATTGTCACACACATGGTTTTGCAATGTGAAGTCTGCTTGGCCAGCGTGTGCAGGTATGGCTTCTTAGCTGCACTGTGCATCTCTGAAGAAAGCACTTGCCCCATTCTTCCCGAGTTCAAATCTTTCAGAAGAGCCTCAACACCAAGGGCAATCAGCCGGTGCTTGAAACAAACACATTGGTCAGAACGGGAATCAACCCTTATGACTAATAGTGCAAAATGCAAACTGGGTTGTCTCACAATGCATTTTTTTTCCGTTGACGTTTGGACCGGAGTCACATGAAGCGCCCCCGTCGCTTTTTTCGTTTGCATTTTCCCGGAAGCATTGTGAAGGGCTCTTCTAAGAGCGGCTGCAGATTTCACCTGCCATCGTGTCATGCCAACTTTTCGAGAGTTACTTCACCTGCCAACTTCACCTGCCAACTTCTCGAGAGTTGCTTCACCTGCCAACTTCACCTGCCAACTTCTCATGCCATACTTCACCTGCCAACTTCTCATGCTAACTTGTACGGCATACTTCACATGCCCACTTTTAGAGAGTTACTTCACCTGCCAGCTTCTCGTGCCCGACGGGAGCTTACGAAACGTACCCTTTTGCGGGGATTGTGCGTGTCGGATCCCCCCCCCTGTGGCGCCTTGCGACGCTGTGGCGCCGGCGAATGTGTCCTGGTCTCGGCGAACCGTTCTGCAGAGATAGTGCGTGTCGGAGCGCTCTCGCTGTGATGCCGTACGAATTTGCATTGACCTTTGCGTACCCTCTGTGGAGATCGTGCGTGTCGGATCGCTCTCGCTGTGGCGCCTTGCGAATTTGAACCCGCTGCGGAGATCGTGCATGTCGAATCGCTCTCACTGTGGCGCCACGCGAGTTTGTCTTGACCTCGGCGAACTTTCTGCAGAGATCGTGCGTGTCGAAGCGCACTTGCGGCGGCCCCGCGCGAATTTGGTCTTGACTTCGGCGAAGCTTCTCTGCGGAGAGCGCTCTCTCTGTGGCCCGTGCGAATTTTCTGACATTTGCTGCTCGTGAAATGGCCTTTGGACGTTGTCTCGTGGTTCGCGTGGTCGTAGGCTCGATTCCCCCCTGGTCCGCAACCGTTCCGGCTCGAAAATCGTACCTTTCAAGATCTTTCAAGTATCAAAGTACACGGAAACTGTGCTCCCGTAGTTCTGGCTGCGCCGGCCGCAAACTTCACCTGCCAACGTCACCTGCCAACTTTTCGACAGTTGCTTCACCTGCCAACTTCTCGTGCCAACTTTTTGAGACTTACTCCACCTTTCTCCCGCCAACATTTCGAGAGTTACTTCACCTGCCAACTTCTCATGCCAGCTTTTCGAGAATTACGTCGCCTGCCAACTTCTCATGCCAACTTTTCAAGACTTTCTTTCACACCTGCCAACTTCTCTTGCAATCTGTTCGAGAGTTACTTCACGTGCCAACTTTTCGAGAGTTACTTTACCTGCCAACTTTGCCTGCCAACTTTTGGAGAGTTACTTCACCTGCCAACTTCTCCAGCCAGCTTTTCGAGAGTTACTTCACCTGCCCACTTCACCTTTTCGAGAATTACTTCACCTGCCAACGTTGCCTGCCAACTTTTTAAGAGGTACGTCAGCTGCCAACTTCGCCTGCCAACTTTTTGAGACTTTCCTTTTCAAGAGCTACTTCGCCTTCCAACTTCTCCTGTCAACTTTTCGAGAGTTACTTCACCTGTGTCAACTTCTCAGGCCAACTTTGTTTTTCGATTTTCGAGTGTTGCTTCACCTGCCAACGTCTCGTGCCAACTTTTGGAGCGTTACTTCACCTGCCAACTTTGCCTGCCTTCTTTTCAAGAGCTACTTCACCTGCCAACTGCGCCTGCCAACTTTTTGAGAGTTACTTCACGTGCCAACTTCTCATGCCAACTTTTCGAGACTTACTCCATTTTTCTCCTGGCAACATTTCGAGAGTTACTTCACCTGTCAACTTCTCACGCCAACTTTTCGATTTTCGAGTGTTGCTTCACCTGCCAACGTCTCGTGCCAACTTTTGGAGCGTTACTTCACCTGCCAAATTCGCCTGCCAATTTTTGGAGAGTTGGGGAGATCTGAGGATCGGCGGCTTGTCAGCGGACACCACCTGGAAGGATTTGGAGAACCACTTCGCCACGGTGGCAAAGCCAGCCATAACTGCGCCTTCAAACTGAATTCGGGTCGCGCACCAAATGGCCGGTTTTCATTCTGCTGCCTTTGGCTTTCTTGGTATTTCTTGGTGGCTGCCTCCTGCAAAGAAGGTGGTTTCGCAGGTGACAATGTCGCACTTTGTCCAAGACTATCTGTTTGTTTCTGGGTTAGCCACGCTTATGTTGGAGGTTGGGCCCTTGGCAGCGGCACTCGGGCTCCCAGAAAGGCACCTGAACGTCAAAGCCCCCCATCTTTGGTCTTTAACCTCCAGCTTCTTATCACCACTCCTGAAAAGAGGAGCCAACCTGGCCCTTGCAACAAGCAGACCACGCTGGTTTGAGGGCCGCTGCTCAGGCGGGCAATGTAAACCTCCGGCTTTCGAACGCGAAACCAGTTGCGCTGGCTTGTGGTGCGGCCAGGACTGGATCACACCGCTACTGACAAGATTCAACCGAAGGTCATTCCTGATTCTTCAGGCATGCAATCAATCCATTGATGGAATTCTCTGCTTCGAGGCCTCACACCTGCATCCTATGGAGCTATGAACATGCCCGCAATCCTTCTGTGAAATGTGAAGCAGCCGGTGCTCGCAGGAAGGTGGGAGCCGAGCAGCGCTTGGAAGGGCGCTAAGGATGCACAGCACGTCCTTGACATCTTCAAAGCTGAATGGAGCCATGAACAACTTGCCAGCCACGTGTCCTCTCTTCCCAGATGAGAACTTCACGAAGCAGTACTGGGATTGTTTACTCTCCAGGACCCAGTCCCATCAAGAAGCTGAAGCGTCGGGCGTCTATGGATGGATCGTGTGCTGCCATCCCGAATACGCATTCGCACGCTACTGCCCGAATCTTCTGCCCCATGCCGAAAGACCCGATTGGTGAACTTCCTGCTCCGTCTGATGACCACACTTCTGGGACCTTGCAGGTTTAACCCTTTGCCTCGGCTTCCACAGCATGTCTAGGTGCGCCCACTTAAATTGTGTCCGCGCTGTCGAAACCTGAATGTTTTGTGCGGAGCAACCCGGAGACACTCCGTGCCCCGTGGACTTTTGGGTTCCCAGGCTCACCTTGGAAAACTTTGGCACACCGAGAAGAAGCGGGGGGGCCTTCAAGATGAGCTACCCATGGGAGGAATCTCATGTTCGATCCCTTTTTCATGGCAAAAAATCCTGGAGTACCGTGCGAATTTTTGTTTGGTTGCTTGGCTAAGCAAGACGTGCCTAAAATAATGCTTTGTCCTGGAGATTCAAACACCCGGGCGTTTTGGGAATCGCTACGATTGGAGGAAAGCTGGGCGTTCTAGTACGAACCGCTGGAAGACTAGTACGAAGGCCGGCATGTAAGGTGCTGCCGGCCGTTTGGAGGATATTTGAGCCAACAAGATCTGACATCATATCAATATAGTTTCCTTTGTCGGTGCTTGCATTTCCCGTTGCAAGCATGACCCTACATCGGTCCCCAATCAGGGCATGCTTTTGAGCGGGCAGTGCTGCTTTTGAGCGGGCAGTGCACGCAAACAAACCCAATTGACCCACTTTTTGGGATTTGCGCTCGTTTGCGGTTTTTTTGCGGGTGTTTTGCGGGTTTTCCAAAAGTGGTACGAACAAAGAGCATTTCTCACCCGAAGCATGTTTAGACTAGACTTGCTCCGCTTTGCGCACCACTCCCCCGCACAGCTAGGATTGAAGGGTGTTGATGGAGGGAAGGATTTGAAGGGTTGTCGAGTTTAAAAGTTTCAGAAGATTCGAAAATCAGGTTTAGTGGGCAACATCAAGCTGAATGAGAGAGAAAGACCTGTGCAAGAAGGAAATACCCAATAATTCCAATTTCTAGGAGTCTTAAAAGTCGTTTTGCGGTAAAAATGACACGAAACAGGCAAACGCAATACAATGACCAAACCGCCTACCTTTTTCTAGTCGTTTGAAGCTGCAGGGTCGTCAAAAAAAGTCTGGAGTAACCCGATTGCTGTTTTCGGTTGCTTGGCGTGGGTGGCAATTTTGTGCCTAAAGCAATGCTGGGCAATTCAGTGCTTTGAATGTGAAATTTGACCAAGACGGGCACCTCCGACTAAGTGCGGGGCACTTTCTGCAAACTCCATTCAAAAGCCGAAAATCAACGATTGCGATGTAAAGGACCATCGTAGCCCGTGCGGAAGCAGACCGGTTCCTGTTCACAGTGAGACTGCAAACGAGCAAGTCGGGTGCTTTTGCACTCCGCTGAAAAGGCAGGCTACCGGTGATGTCCCCCCGGAATGACGTCACTCTTTGCTACCAGCCAAAATCAAATACTCCTTGGGAGTGATGGCCAAAAGCTTCCACTAGGGAAGCGGCCAGCGCAGCCTGGCTCAAGAGGGTCACGATTTACAACGTGGCAAAGCGCAGAGCCGGCGAACGCTCCCAACGCGGAAGGCTCTGACTAAACGAGAACCCATCGCATCAGAGATGCCTTTGGGAAAAGCCAAACAGGGTGGCCTCCACAAAAGATAGGCCGACAGAGACACATTGCCTTTTTTTGGGGGCGCCCTTTTAAATCAGAGTAGTATTTTGCGGGGTCTTTTTCCTTTTAGCGCGGATCTAAGGACATTATGAAGAAAGGCACAGCTGTGGTCGCCTACAAGACCGTAGAAGACGTGGAGGACTCGCATGTTGTCGCTGCGCAGCTCATGAAGTTTGGTCACAATCCATTTGGGAGACTGGGGAGCTCACTCAGTTCCTCAGGGACTTGCTGAAACTATCATGTCTTTGTAGGCAGTCAGTTTGAAAGCACCCCTTTACCTTACCTGGTAAAGCCTTACCTCTTAAAAACACAACTTTTCAACTTTTTGGGTAACATGGGCTATATGTATGTAAAAGATTAACTTCCCCAGGGCTTGGAGTTTTAAGGGGTACGTTACTTGGTGTTGGCAGGGATGGCCATCGAATTATTCATAGGGGTTCTAAACAACTCATGTATCGATTCCTCTTGTGGGGGAACTGTACGCAATCACTTGCTGCTGGTACACTGTACACCCCCCGACAGCCATTTTGCAGATGCGACCGACAAACTTTGCGCATGTGGGTGGGTCTTAAAATCGGGGAACCCTTAAAGTAGATGGTTTCCCTTTGGTTTCCCTTTGGATCCCCCCTTGAGACCCCACAAAGGGCAGCCCCACGAAGTGGGTCTTTGGATAGCCACCAGGAAGCCAAAGCCTTCAAGCCGCGTCCGTGTTCGGACACATTCTGGGTGTTGCTCCGAGGGAACCCTTTGGCTCAAAAGGGAACTGGAAGCCTACCTGGCATTTCTTGCTCCGGCTCATTGTGAGAGCCGATCGCTCGAGCGGGTCCGACTCGACCCGTCGACCCGAACCCAGACCGCCGTGGCCTCCATGAATGGCACAGAGCTGAAGGGCAATGTCATAGAGGTGGATGTGCCGCCACCTGAGACGGTCCGAATTCGTCCGTTTCTGACCCGCAGCAATCATGTTTTTGGTTGCCCATGCGCAAGGCAAATTGGAGTTTAAGCAACAGGTTGGGGTGGGAAATCTGGGTCCTTCCAACATGTTTTATTTCAGTCCTTTTTCCTTTCTCCTTTCTCGAGTCAGATGGCTGTTTTCCGGGTTGTATTGTTCATAAGGGCTGTTGTAATAATTCAAAGTGGTTTGGGGGGAACCCGATTTGTTTTCTTCGGATTTCCCCGCTCGTTTTCTGTATTTTTTTCCTCCAATCCCAGAAAGAAACAAATTTACGTGGAGCCGGGTGGACTTGGGAGGTGTTCCCCGCCTAAACTTCTCCATTGTTCCTGGGAGAAAAATACCAGGGGGATGCCACGAATCAGAGCCAACTACACCACAAAACCCGTTAAATTTCGCGCCAAGCTACTGCCTTCCAACTTGTTTCCCTTGCAAGACAAGCATGTCGGCTCAAGGCGGCCTGGTTTTCTTGTGCCACCCGTCGCTTGCTCGACTGAGGTGGGTTCAGCAGCCAAAGACACAGAAGCCAATTGCGGCCAAGAAGCTGAGACTCCTCCGCATTCATGTCAGCGCAGAAGCTGAGACTCTCTTCCCCCCTTTGGGGTTCCCTGGAGCCAAATCGTGGCCAGACTGCGCGAACTGTTCTTACGTTTGTGACCTTGTGGGTTTCCATTTGCAGGCTGCAAGCTTGGCCAAGAGAGAAGGCCGGCCGGCGAAATTGTTTTTCGACTTGTGTGTGGAGCTCTTTGCTGCCCAAGGCCAGTGAAGAAGGCGCCTATGGTCAAGCAGGCCAAAGCAAAGCCCACGGCCAAGGCAAAGGCGGCGACTGACAAGATGAAGGAGTCCTTGAGCTCAAGACTGTGTCACCTGGGTCCCTCGAAGAAAGAAAACAACAACAGATTAGTTAAACGGGCTTCTGCCAATCTTGTTTTGCTCATCCTTAAAAGCCAAGCTGCTTGAGGTACTTGAAGCGGCGATCGGAACCGTTTTAGCCCACTTAGACATTGGAGGACTTGCAGCTATGGCAAGTGGGTTGTAGCCATGGTTACTGCACACCTACTTGACGTACCCTATGGCCCCATACGGTCAGAATTATGATCCAGACTCTTGCGGGGGTCCCGATTTGGATACCCATCACCTTTTGGTGGCCGCACCTGTTTGAGTTTCACTTTGGCGGAGTGATGTTTCAAGGGAAGGGATATGAAAAACCCAATTTGACAATCCCGTTTCATGACCCTACCTTGAGATGTTGTCCTGTTCAAAGGTACAGCAAGACTTCGGTGCTCCTTCCCTTGGGTGTTACGCACGGGGCTTCCCTTTGTGATGGTTCTTTTTCCAATAGGGATCAGGATTCACCATCTCTCCATTTTGAACATCGCGTTTCATCAATTGGAAGTCATCAGTTGCGTCCAGCCCCAAACGCGCAATCTCTAGCTAGCTGATGCAGTGGGCAAATCAGACCCAAAAGCAAATTCCGCCTGGTGGGGAATTAAGAGTTCAAGGACTCTTAGCTGGGCACCTGAGTTTCTCAGATTTCTCTTTGGTTTCTGTTACCCAAGAGAGGGCTCAGGTTTTGTTCTCCCCAAGCGGATCCGGTTAAGTTTGCAGCTGACTGTTTGATGCGCGCATCGCATAAGAAAGCTTTGGGCTTTGTTGCTCAGAACACGGCTTCCCTTGTCAAGAACCCAAAGAGGAGCTTTTTGAAACATGACAACAAATAAATCGAAGCGACGTGTCCCCGAAGTGACAACACTAAATCAGCACTTCAGGTTGCGGTGATGACGCTGGCACTTAGGATGCAATCAATAGTTACACTCCTTCTAGATGAACAGGGAGCCCAAAAGGGAGCCAAGGAGATATACATGGCGTCTTTTGGGGTTCCATGTTGATCCGCGTGCCCGGACTCCGGACAGGACGGCCATGTGAGTCGGATTTTTTTCTGAGGGTGACCACCCTTTGCTTCGGTCAAAGCCCCCAAGGACTAGGACACCAGTCGGGGCCCTGGACCCTGCAACTCCACAGTTCCGCAATTCTTCTTTGACAACGTTGGGTTGAATTTGCCGAATTTTAAGGAAGGATCCCCATAATCAAAGGGACCTGAGAAGGGCTGTCCTTCGACACAACCCACCCAAACGACCCTTAGATATTGCCTCAAAAAGGGGCGGTTGGGTCGATTCACTTGGCTTCGGATTGGTTTTCCAGGTTTCCGGTAGATTCCAAGCGGCAGCTTCAGGGTCCAGCGTTTTTTGCTTCCGAATTAGTTCCCCCTTTTGCTTTTTTGGGGTCCCCTTTGTTTGCCACTACCCAGGCAAATATATATATATATATTATATATATATATATATATATTTGCTGGGGTCCTAATTCCAGCCTAGTTTGGTAGAGCCCGAGCGAGGAGAAGCTGGCGGCTTTCTCTGCCTCGCAGAAGGTCTGGGTGGGCGGCCTAACGGAGGCGACGACCTGGTGCCTCGGTGGAGAAATGTCTTCGCTGGGGAGGATGTGGGTTGATCCAAGGGTACCGAAAAATTCATGGGACCAGTCGAAAAGCCAAAAACCATCACCACCAAATGGGGAAAGTGACCCGTGGTCATTTTGGGACCATGAAGATTGATTAACCCTGATGCGTGTGCGTGTGTGTGTGCTTTTGAGTTGGTATCCTTCTAAAGGTTGAGGCAAATCAAAGGAAACCCTGATTCCGTTGTGGGGGGTGCAAATCCCTATTTCGACACAGACGTACGTTCATTTTGAATATCACGAAAAGCTGGGAGGTTGAAGGTTAGTGAGAGGCCAGTCCCAGCTCCTTTAAAAAAGGAAAATTAAAATCGGCCGCCCTCTTAATTCTTTACAGGATTTTTGGTAGACTTATTTAAATATACCAGGTTTTTGTGCCTCTTGATTTTTTTTTTTTTTTTTTAGAAATGTCCAGCAGTCTATGTTCGATTCGGGAGGGAACTGGGGCACTCTCAGCTTCTACAAAGCCAGAGAACTCTCAAACTTTACCTTGTTCAGGGTAGCAAGTGTTGACCATGGCTTTGCGTGATTGGATATCTAGAAACATGGGCAAACAATGCCAGGTGTCTGAGTTTTCTTTTACCAACGAGGTCTCTTTTGTAAATGTTGCAAGGCACACCCGCAACATTTGTTTGGCTCTTGTTGATTTCAAGCGACAGCGTGCCGGCGCTTGAATGTATACGTCCACAAGCGAACCGATGGCCGTTCTCTTGCCACTTGCCGCTTTGGCTGGGTTCTCAGAATTGCAGGCCATATTGGTGAAGCAACCCAGAAACTCTGGCACCTCTTTTGATATTAAATTTTGCGGCTCACTAATTTATGACCCAGAAAAGAACTTCATGGCAGTGTTTTGGGAGCAAAAGGCTAAAGGTAGAACTCTGGGTCGGACCATGGTGAACAAACCAACAGACAAGAGGTTGATACGCGGATTCACAACTAGAAAGGTGTTTACTGAGCCAACGTAAGACTGACTTCCTGAGTTTCTGGACTAACAACCATCACAAGGGTGCTTGAAGGAATCAGACTTTGTCCCACATCTTGGGACTTTAGACGTACGCGCGCCCGCTTGCTACTGGAATTGGGTGTGGTGATTCCTGGAGCTTTATTTGTAACTTCCATTTGCTGAGGAATATTGATTCATGTCCCCTCTTGGTTTTGAGGGGCACTACACATGTTTCTATGTTGTCCAGGGCACTTCAGATGGAATTCTTCATTGCAAGGTGCCTTCTGCAAGAAGACTAGACCAGTAAGATCGAGGACCTGGGTCTATGGTCCCTGGTGGAAGGGGTGGTGAACCCAGCGCAAGGAAAGAGCTGGACACTCACATGGCCAACGTGGCGAAGCCAAAGCTGACGCACGTCTACAGGTCCACAGGCCCGAGTTGCCCGTCGGGTCGCTTGAAACGAAGGAAAGTCCCAATGCTCATTTGGGGGGGTTTCTTGGGTCTCCCGAGTGGAATCCCATTTTTTCGAGTTGCTCAAATTGGGCTCGTTCTTCATTGCCAAACTTAACTGTCCGTTGCGCCCTTTTGGGTTCGCTGTGTGTTTTTCCCCTTCCTTCAGCAAGAGAACATTCTGCAGGGGAAGTCTGGCAAAGTTTCAAAGGGAAACCCCAATAGAGCAAGCCCGCTTTGCGAAGCTGATTGGAAAGGTTCCTTTTGTTCCGAGCCCCCTTTTGGGAGCTCCCCAGAAGCAACGTTCATTGGAGGTTCGTCCAGATTTGGTCAATATATCGGGGGTTCCAACACCTCAAGACAAGATGCACATGGCGATCTTTGGTTGGAACACCCTCACCGAAGCAGGGATATAATTCCCATTGCATTTTCCATACAGGGCTCCAACCTATAACCTATTGAAGTTCATCCACACATGGTGCCAATGTGTGCTCGACCCTTTTCCAGGTTGCACACGAGAGTTGGCCGCAAGTCTCTTCAGCCGCTGTTCCAAGGCGGCCTTGCTACCCTACAAATGGAGGATGGCGGTGTTCTACAACCCCTTGTCAGCTGTGACAGTTCGCCGCGGGGCAATGCCGCAACGACGTTTGAGAGATCTTCGAAGCGTGCTTGTTTGATTTTTCCAGGCCCCCTAGACTCTTTCTGTAATCATGGACGAGCTCCGAATTTCGGAAAGTAGCCTTCCCACATCTTGGGATCGTCAGCCTCCATGATGGAGGGTGGATGTTCCCTGGAGAGCATGCTCCGGCATATTTCCCCTTTGCCCATTTGCTGTGCCAGGCGTCGTAGCACCTCGGCTTCAACTGAAGAGGTTACACATCGAAATGGCTGCACATGAGGAGTTGATTCTAGGGTTGGTTGCGAACCTTGGTCCCCTTTCAAAGGGAAGCCCCAAGAGGAAGCATCCTTGTGTGAGCATGTTTTAGGGGCCGGGTGGCTGGCCTGCCGTTGCGAATTTCAGCCATCCTGGCCAGATTCAATTTTGACATTTTGCAGGTTTAAGCCCAGAATATCCTACTGCGCCCCCGAAATACTTATATATATAATATGGCCTGAACAATTGATATCAGAAGAAAGGCAAAGCTCAACCCCGGAGTGAGAGGTCCAACCTGCGCCTGGGATGGATCCGAGGTGTATGAGTCAGAGGAGGACGTGACCACCGCGATCTCTTTGTTGGATGGCTCTGAGTTGAACGGCAACGTGTGCCTCGATTTCGACAAGCATGAACAACTCTGCTAGATTTTAAACCCTCAACCCGCCTGAAAAGTGTCTTCCGAAACCCGCCAAATAACACAACCAATTTTTGGGAGTTCAAGACACAAACAGTTTGGGAACATGAAGGGACCCGCAAGATCTCCGCTGGGTCCCTTGAAACTAGAAGGGTTCAATTGGGGGATGGAGATCTCCATATTGAGCCATTTCCCGTTTGCGGTTTAAAGTCGAGAAAATGCACTTGGGACACCGCCCCCCGTTGAAAGACGAGAAAACCCCCCTTCCCCTCAAGCTAGGGATACTGATGAGAGGCTTTGCCTCGCTCAAAGGCTGCAGCTGGACGTGTGGACCATGCCAGAGAAGAAGGCGGGGCCTGCCCGGGTGCCAAGTGATTACCTCTCACACTTTCGGGCAGAAATTCATTTAGGTTTTCCAGGCATTCAAGATCATGCTTGTGGAAGACTGGGCTTCAGGGCCACTTTCTGTGATACCAAGTTCAGCCTTTAATTTAAAGAGACACAGTGGTCACAGGGCTAGCCTGCCTGGGTATCAGATACCGTTATTTATCACCAGCTTGAAGATTATGGTGGACCGTTCCTGTGCTCCCAGACTGCAAGAGGAGGTTGCTCCTGAAACTTTTGCAGGGAAAAGTGAGGACCAAAGTTGCCGCTCGGCTGATCTCCGAAGAGGAGCTGGGTATGTGGGGCTTGATCAATTTGCCATTTGGGGCGTCCAGTTTTGACCATCAATGGTCATCACATGTAAAGAACCTTTTGATCAACCCCCATGTGTCAAAACCCCAAACGTGGTAGGTTTCCTTTTGGTTTCCCCCTTAAAACGAGATAAGAACGGTCAGCCCTCAGCAGCAACACACTCAACCTGCAGGAAGCTTGGAGCAGCCTTTTGGAGCTCACACGCGGCAGCCCATGCCTTTTTCACCTTGCTGTAAGGGGAAACCAAAATGGCCATGGTTCAAAACCAATGGTACCGTTTTGGGATAGGTGCACCACCCATTGTAGTCTACTTTAGTGGGGATTGAATCGGATGTTCACTGGGGGTACGATTTGGCTGTTGACCCATCGCCAAAGGAGGGGTACCAGTATTTTTGTGGCGGGAGTCCCCTTCGACACCAAACCCATTTTGGGTTTGTTCGACCCCTGGCCCGGTTCCGAACGGCTGCGAATGGCTCACCTACGGGGACAGCCGGCTCACCATCCTTGGTGCTTTCGGGGCATCTTCAGGGCGGTGGTTCCACGCTCCCAATCGCATTCCGCTTGCCCGTCTTGAACTTCCGGACTGAGGAGGCTTGATTCTGAGCGCTCGAGTGCCCGTCGTGAATGTTGTCGGACCATTGCTGCTTGGCGAAGCGCCTTAATTTTGATGCACGCACGTCTATGAAGTCATCCAAACGCGGAAAAAGGCAGAGAGATGCTTAGAGGGTAACATGTGAGCTGGCTGTCAAAGCTGGGGAGCCCTTGCTAGCCATGTGAGCTGGCATTCACCATGGATTTCGGCACCTTTTCGGGTCCCTTCGAGCAGATTTGTTTCCTCCAAGGGGGAGTGTAAACCAACCAACCAAAGGGCACTTTTTCAGGTCCTTCACCTTCATCCTTTAAAAGTTCTGATTCTTCGTGCAGAATGTCCCCTACACAGTGAACATTCGGAACCACTCGACCCATTGAACAATCTCTGAAGCCTCTTTAGGTCGTAGGTTCAGGCCGAATATGCAAGATTCTACAGTCAATTTGGGTGGCTCAAAATGTCAAGATCTAGGGCAGCTCGGGTTACACGGGTTTTAGTCTATTTACAAAGGTGCCATCATGATTCATGATCTATGTTTTGAGCCACAGCCGTTTGAATTCCCCAACCAAAACCACGACTAGATGGATTTTTGTCGGGTCTTTCTGGCGACGACGGCGCTGACCGAAGCCTTCCCGGCTCCAGAATTCAATGGGGACGTTACCCCGCCCCGCGAAGCGCGCGAGGAGGGGAGAACTGACAGTCACTCAGATGGTGTGTTTCTGCCACATAATGTTGGACCCTCTTTCCCCCCCCTTAGGAGTGGAACCCGTTAGCTGGACCTCCTTACTTTAGTATTGCCAAGGCTGACTCTCAGCTGCCCAGTACTTACGTTAGCATTGCAAATTCTACTTTAGCATTGCCAAGGACCGTTTTTTTCAGCAATCCGCAAAAAATACTCAAGAGGACCCCAAAACAGTCTCATCAAAGAGGATCAGGGCCCCTTGTGGGCAACCCCTTTGTGTGATTGTTTGCCCGTATTTTTGTGTAAAGAAGTTATCTTAAATGTGATGGTGTGGGGGCCAGTCGCAAATTGAACTTCCTAGATGCAAGGCCTTTACCCTTTAGCTGGGAAGAGCTTGGTTAGGTGAACCGCCCTAGAAGTAAAAGGCTAACGCTCGAGCTTCAAAAAAAAGCAACCCAAGAAATCGTTGGACACTAAAGAGGACCCCAAACAGTCACATTGAGGAGGATCAAGGCCCCTTGTGGGCAACCCCCTTAGTGTGACTGTTTGCCCGTGCTTTTTTTTTTGTAAAGAAGTTATCTTAAATGTGATGGTTTGGGGACCACTTCAAGACAACACATCCTAATGTTTGCCCGGATGTGTTTGCTCGTCTTTTTGCCCAAGTTTGTTTGGCCCATAATTTTTCGGAGGCTTAGTCTAGCCTGAGCCAGACACGATCAGGAGAGCAAAACAAAATCCGTTGTTTCTTGGATTCATTGGGGGGAAACATGCCACAATTGAGGACCCCAAAACAGTCACAAGATCCTGAATTGCGAAAGCAGTTTGCTATAATGCAGGGTACTATTAATACATGAGGTGTAGCATTATGAAGGAGTTCCTCTTAGATTTAGCTGGGACACTGCCCCAACCTATGCTGCACACTGAAGGTCGGTTTATTTGTTCACCCTCAGGACATTCAGCTTTCAGCGTTTGGGTCTGCAAAAACCGTTCTTTGTGGTTCCTATGGCCAGGCTTTCTGAGGGGCATTCGAATGCGGAGCTGCCTGAGCCTCCTCTCAAAGGCCGGGAATATGGCTGTGGGTCAAAACAAAAGTACCAATTTGGGGCACCCATTTTAGTCTATTTTGTTGGGGATTGGGATGTTCACTGGGGGTATGGGGTTTGACCCATGACCATATGGCTGAATCCTGAAGAACAAGGAGGTTAGTGCCAAGCTGCATTTGGCTGTGGGTCAAAAATGGGTACCCAAATTGGAACCCTGATAAATGGAACCAAGGACTAAAACCTGCGGTTTTCTGGTGGTTTCATTTTGACCCATACCCGTATAAACTGCAGATTTACGTGCGGAAGCTCCGACGCATTTGTTTTGTTTCAAGAAGCCGAGAATCCGTCCCCCTGAAACCCGAACAACACGACATACCCATAGGTTCCCATTGCATTCATTGGAGCTCAGCGGAAAGGCGATGCGTATTGAAACAAAACACTATGGTTGGCAATCCTTTGGGGTGTTCCGGCGGAAAAATAGAAGCCAACCAGCCAATTTGGCCCCCCCCCTCTCCCCCCGCAGCCCCCAAAGAGAAATGAGAAAGATGCTGGAAGAACATACCCTTCTTAGATTCAAGTCTCTTGTGCAGGCGGAACTTGTTTTTTGGGCTCCTGTGTCAGTTTGGTAGGCAACTGGGTGTGTCAAACAGATCGCATGAAAGTGTCAGTCTTCAAGGAACTTTAGGGCGTTTAGGGTGGGCTCCCCTTTGTGGTATTCCTGGGAGCTTTTTGAAGCTGCCTTGGCCACCATTTCGCTTGCGAGGGTACTGGCTTCATCAGTTCTTGTAGAACTCAGGTGTCAAGCGCCCAAAACCGAGTCCTTTTGTCGAGTTCAGTAAGTGTTTCGGTCCTTACATAGTTTCATAAGATCAAGGGCTTTAGAAACTTTGATAGCCATGTTGGGCTCATTTGGGTTCCGAACCAAAAGTGAATGGGGTTCGGGCGCAGCTCAAATGCATATGTTTCCGAAAGGGTCGAACTCTGTTTTGGATGGTGAAGAAATCCAAAAGGAATGTTCGGGTTCCCTAAGTTTGGGTTGCTAAGTCAATTCTTTGAGCACCTCGCAGGTGTGAAGCTGCTCTATGATTTTATGAATGCCCGAGAGCTTGTGCGCAAGAACCGCGAGACGGGCAAGGGAGGTGCCCGCCTCTACGAAGGACCCAAACTGGGAGGAGTGAGAAAACGTTGGGTCAAATTTCTGGCAGTCTATGCGTCTATGATTCATTTAGGAGGGACATGGGGGATTGTCTCAGGAATTGTGGCATATGCTCTTGCTGAAACATCGCTTTTGACTGTGGCTCGCATGTTTCAATATCACTTCGGAGCCATGGCAAGTTTTATCACCTTCCATGGTATTCCATGGCCCTGAATAGTGACTCATTTCCGGCTGCAATGGCTCCCCTTCATTGATATATTATATGTGGGTGCCGCTTGGTGAAAACATCTTGGGGGTCCCCTAATTTTTTAAGACACCCACATTTCCAATCCGTTAACATCAGCGGGAGCCTCGGGCATCCAAGAGACAGCTAGCAATGGAATGTGCTAGCTGGGAAGCCAACTCTCTCATGTTGGCTTCCTGCTGGCTTCCCTTACTCTCTCAGAAGGGGGTCCGGTTTCCATAGGCTCGGGGATCCAGGTCTGCTCCTTTCGCTGTGGAAGTTTGATGTGGATTCCTTTGGTTTCCTTTTGCCAGGGCCCAGCTTTTGGGTCTTACGCCTGGTCAACTTTCCACAGAGGACCCCTAAGACAGTCACAGGATCCTGAATTAGAAAAACCGTTTCTACAATAGAGGGTACTACTACTAAAGGAGGTCTAACGTTACTGGTGAATCGCTTGCTGTCCCACTCCGCGAGGACTTCCGGCGGATCTGGCGCAGTACTTCCAACGGCATTGCTGTCCCAACGTGCATCGCTGGCATGACCGCACCACCTCCGGCTTGCACCACCTGTGTGCGGCCAAGCACAGGTGGGCACAGATGTGTTTTGTGGGCGTTTCAGTCCCCAAAAGCGGGGGGTCCAAGCAGAAGATCTGACAAACGAGTTTGTACACCGGGTACCTTTCCTCGAGTTTTGATTGAGGTTCGGCCAAAATATCCAGATGGTCAAATTGGGAGGTCACTCACGAAGTTCCCACACCAAAATCAAGGGACTCTCCAAATTTCCCAGGTATTTTCCGGAATCCATATTTTGACCATGCATGTGATGAGAACAGGTGGCGCTTGTGCCAAACCGACAGTGAGCGGTACGCCCTGAAGCAGCTGTTCATCCTAAACTTTGCGGTGTGGCGCTTCATTGGGGGCACCGTGCTCTTTGCGAGCGAGGTGGAGTTGGTCTTTAGCACAACGCTTTGCCCATTTGACCTTTTTTGATGGTTGCTGTTTCCCGACTGACTGTCGCACAGTTCAAGCCTTTTTTGAGAGGTTTGGTTATCTGTTGGTTTCGAATTCAATACATGCCAAAGGTTTTTCGTTTACACGTTCTTCCGGACATAGGACTTGTAGCCCGAATATCGGTTGCCTTGCTTATGGCCTCGCTTAAACACAATTCTCACTGGCACGATTCTCAACCCATTATCAGTCGGACGTAGACTTGTCACTCAGCGGGTTTCATTTCGGTTTATGTTTCCAACCTCAACAGAAACATCCGTTTGGGCATGTGTCAAAATGAGAGCCCGAAAATGGTGGTTCTCCTTTTGGTTTCCCTTGAAGAAGGTGAGCATTTGAAGGTGAACAGGGTACCAAGTCCGCAAAAGGAATCACACCCATTTTAAGACAGACTTGGGGGTGCTACTCTGCGCTTCACGGTTGGCCAGACTCGGTTCAAACAACCCTAATTTCGTTGCTCAAAGGCGCATGAACAGGAGGTTGTTCAATTGGTGTTTACATAAGTCAAGGTTTAAACCGAGGGTTTCTCACAGCATGCTTTCTAAACATGGGGTGTTTCAAGCAAGGCTTAAGCCAAGGGCTGTTTTCCAAAACCCACGGCCGGCAGGTGGGGTTCCTGCCGTCCTGGGGCAAGGACCAAAAGGCCTGGATCCGGCAGGTGGTGACCCGGGCCTACCGCCACGGCCGCATCCGCGATCTCTTCACCGACGCCTACAAAGGCCCGGGCGCAATACGCGCCGAGCTCAGCGCTGGAGACGAGGAGTCGACTGGCCCAAAGTGGGCTCGGACCTCTATGCTTCCCCAGAATTAGCTCCCCTTTTTGTTTATTTTTTTTTTGCTTTTTTGGGGTCCCTTTGTTTTCCACTAACCAGGTGAAAAAAATAAATAGCAAATATTTGCTGGGGTCCTAATTCCAGCCTTGTATGATCACTTGACGGCTTAGGAGGATATTTGTTTGTGGATCTGGTTTCTTAGATGGTTCCTGCAAGAGGAGCCAGAAGTGGAATATGATCCCTTGTCAGCTTAGGATACTCTTCTCCTTCCATTGGCTGAAATGAATTTTTGTTCTATGTGTCCATGTTGGGTTTGAAGGGAAACGAGTTCACTACTGGAAATGTGTTCTTGTTTTCTCCTCTCTTTTTCTCCAGGGGGCTTAAGCAAATGGAGGTATCTGGTTTCTTGGATGGTTTCCCCCACCACCCCCCCACCACCCCCGCACCACCCCCGCACCACCCCCCACAAAGGACCATTTGGGCAACTCTGAGTGACTTTTGTGACTTGCGATCCTTGGCCTTCGACCATGTGCCCGGAACTTCAACGATGACTCCCCGCGCAATGGCTTTGACTCAGTATTGGCCAAGATTTGCTTGACACACCCGCCCAAAGCAAATCGACCTTTTGCCCTTTGGCGTTTCCCGTTTTTCCAGGAGGCTAACCATAGTCTGTTCTTTCCAGGTAGTTTCGGCAAGCGAGCTGAAATACTCTCACCATTTAGTATGGAACCTGAAAATCTCTTCCAGAGGAAAAAAGGTCTTCAAGAACCCCCCCCCCCAGTCAGGTTCCTGGGTTTGAACCCAATTCATTAACAAACTCAACTAACCTTTTTGCCCTTGGCTCTTTGGGTTTCCTTCCCTTTTTCTTTTAGCCCGCAACAGTTGTCACTTGTTGCCGGGTTGTAAGGTTGGTCGAGGAATTCCGCTTTAAAAGGTCCATCAACATTATTACATTTCACCACATATAGGTTCTTTTGACATGGGTCCATGGTTGTTTGAGGATAGGGTGGGATGGATCACCTGTTTAAGCATGTTTACACAATTCCGGGCAACAAACTATAGTGATATCACAATTATTCGAGTTTACAACCTTCTGATGACAGTTCCTTGAATCGGGACACCCTTCATCATCATCCGCCCAGAAAACAGTTTTAACATCAACTCAATTTGGTTTGCCTTAAATCAGAGGATCTCTCCCCAAATCTCAAAATAGAACCCTAGCATGGTGTTGCCACGAGCTATTTTGCGGAAACAGGGAGGGGGTTGGAGGGAGATTAAAAGGGTGATGACTTGGTTTGAACAGCTCCAACCTTGTCGGTACCTATAAGGGGGGGTCGCTCAAACATCAACACATTTGGCGCTCGCCCTCGGTATGAATGGCCTAGTTTTACTTTGGAATCCGTACCAAACGAGTGCCGTGCCAGGATTCCCTGGAGCGGGTGTTGTACAATAGGGGGCCCAAGCAGGTGAGGTGGGCGGAGCCGGACCTCACCTTCCACACGCTCGTGGGGAAGTTTAGACTCATTGACCGACTCTGGGAGGAGATGCGCCGAGAGAGAGGGGAGGGGGTTGCATGACATGGCAAACAATCACAACAACACTTTTTTGTTAGTGACCCAGAACCCGAATGTTCTTGTAGGTTCAGAGAAGCTCCCTGGTTTTCTTGTTTTCTTTCTTTCTTTTTTGTTGGGGGGGGGGGGGCGGAAGTCACACATATTCACCAGAGGGACTTTGCATGAAAACTACCAGCAAAGGACTTTGGGGCGAGCGTGTTGGTCATGGACTGCAGGAGCCTAGATTTTGGTAGCAAAGGGCTGCAACACGGAGTGTGACTTCGTGCAACCCCCCCCCCCCAGTTCCTCCACAAAAAGCAATCAAAGCAGGAGTTAAGTCTTGACTCCTGAGTTTTCCAATGTGTTAGGTGCTTCTTCATTTTCCAGCATTCAGACCCACCGCCACCGCGGTTTTTGTGTGGCCACCCGGATCGCCTGCCGAGGAGTCCCCGTCCTTGGTGGATGCCGCTGCTCCGAACCCCCAAACTGGACGGGTGGAGATGCGCCGGGTGTGGCTGAGCTGAAGCCATCTTGGCCGCGTGCGATTTTTTGGAGTTGTTGAAGTTTTGGTAGGTCGGGTAAGCTTTACGGGCCGGTAAAGAAGTAGATTTGGGGGTTGAATGTCTGGGTGAAGTTGGATTTGTTTGGGAAGTTTTGGTACCCCTAGAATAGACGCACTAACAGGGGGTTTATTCCCCATGGAGAACTTCAGAAGGCGGCCAAGACAGCTAGATTTTTGTTTAACAGACCCTTTGGAGGCTGATTGCCCATGCTCTTCGCCCGTCGCTCTCTTCAGAAACCACCCATGTTGTCCAGGCTTTTTGGGGCACAATCTGAAGAGAGGGATCCCTGAACAGATTGGGGAGGCGGGGGTACGGTTAGACGTTGGACGTTTTCCCTTTTGGCAAGCGCCGTCATTCTGCCTTTTCAACCCCTCCACGGTGTTACTCCTTCCAGGCGGAGCCCACCTAGGTCCCCCAGTGCCCCTTTACCTTCCGGGGAGGGTTCCCCTACTAACTCAGACAGAAGAAAAGTTGGTACCAACTTCTTCCAACTCTACCGGAGGACCGGAGGTCGAAAGTCCGAAAGTCCGGAGGTGCGAGGTGCTGAGCGGGCTGCCTTACTTCGGCGGCACCGTGGAAGGGCGCAGGGAGCCTGGCTTCTTCGCCAAGGAGCTGGTCCAGGAGATGGGACTTGCCACGTGGTTCGTACGAGCGTTTGGAGCGGAGAATACTGGACGTTTCCGTTACAAACAAAGTATTGAGGCCCCTGGGATGGCAGCCAAATCTAGGGTTCCCTTGTTTTGGAAACACCTAAATGGGTACAATTGAAAGTTGGGAAATAAAGCCTTTGAGGCACATATGAGAAATGCATAGTCGGAAAAATAGTTTCGAAACACAAAACTTTGCTTTGTTGACTTACTTATTTGTATGCTTCATTTTGCTCCCTTACATTTCCCTGTGTTTCTTCCTCCGATTTCGTTTTTTTCTGCCGGTTGCCCCGGTTGCCCCGATTTCCGCCCGAGAGGACCTGCTGGACACCCCGGTCTTTGGGCATCGCTCGGCGGTGGCGGACCGCTTCAGCTACTCGCCCGCGGGGCCGGGCGCGCTGGAGGGTCTGCGCCTCATCTACCGGAGAAGGATCACGCCCTGCGAGGCGGGGATGAGGAGTTGGGAAGAATCAGGATGAGTGGAGGGGGGTGATCTTGAGGGATTCATGATAGATTTTCTCGAAACAAGATGTGATTGGGAAGGAGGAGGAGTGGAGCAGGGCTCCTTGAACGTGGCTTTCTCCACCAAAATGAAGGGAAACCACCATTTACAAGGCAATGTTCAGGTGTATAATGTAAGGATCCCTGATACATATATCCCCTCGTGTTCTTTTTTGTTTCCAATTTTTCGGGCACCACATGTTGGGCATGTTGGTATTGATTCCAAGCAGTTGTGGTGTGTGCGTGTGATGTCACTGTCGTTTGCCCAGGGAAATCATAGGATAGAATCATAGGAACCAAAGAATCCACACCAAATCACATCAAATCAAACCACACCAAGTCAAGTCACACCAAATCAAATCACACCACGTCAAACCACACCGAATCAAACCACACCGAATCAGACCATTGGAGGTGTTCCCTTTTGTGAACTGGCAGCGTGCAAGGCTGTGCCCTTGATGCTGAAGCTCCTGGCCTATGCCCACAAGCAGCTCCGACAAGAAGATTCGCTCGACAAAGCCTTCTTGCAGTTCTCACAGAATTGGGTGTGGCTCAAAAGGAGGGGCAAAGAGCAGATTTTGGTCCGTGTTTCCACTCACCAGGGCAAGCCATTTTGGTATCGGTTTTTTGAGCCACAGCCAATTGTCATTCATCCCAACTGGTACGAAGTGGAGTTTGTCCATCCACAGCATCAGGGGGGTTCTAGAAGGGACACCAGAAGGGTCCACCAGTAGGGTCCACCAAGATGGTATCCACTACCCCAAGCCGCCACAATATGCAGGCCATGTTTGTTTGGGAGTACAGATACAGTGCTTTTGTTGGGGCGGTGGAACCTCCTTTTGGGGAACCCCCTTTGCGGGTTCCCTGCAAATTTGCACAGAGAAGGGGTCGCCATGTTCTTAACCAACCCGTCTCGGGAGTCATTCCCGGGCGTGTTCAACATATTTGTAGGGACAACAGGGGCAGTTTGTCACAAGCCAAACAGGACCCTGTGCTGGATTCCATGTTAGTGGGGTGGGGGGGGGGTATCTACCCTGAATTTCAGCGTATGTCACGTTTCACTTGCTGTAGATGGGTACCATACGGGGAGACAAAGGAGTACGACATGATAAACTAAACAATGCCTCCCATGTTTTCTCTTTGGCCATCACTTACAGGGTCCTTGTCAGAATCCCCAGGGCAGCGGCTCCTGATATTCAGGGGGAAACAACAGGGAGCACTGAAAGACGGCTTCTCAGCCACAGTCTCAACTGCTCTGAAGGCCACTTTGGGCTCCATGGGGCACGTGTGTCAACCGCCAGCCTGAGGCACATGGGCAGATAGTTCTCTTTGGGTACTTTCCTTGCGACCATTGGTGGTGTGCAGAAATGGGGTGCTAGCTCAATCGCCATATGCATGGAGGAGGTAGCAGCAAATGCAACTGACCGAACACCTAGCTGGGGTTATCTTTCTGGAGATCCCCCAAACAAAATAGGGGCCTATACCCGAAATGGGAACCCATTGGATGATTCAACTCCTGGTTGATTTTCTGGGGGGAGGGTGTTCCCAGGTCAGGAGGAATCTGTTTTGCGGAACCGCCTGCCCAACAATCCACGAGGTTGATTCATCCGGTGGGGCAAATGACCCAAGGCAATTTGCCGTGCCTGCCATCACATCTTTTTCCCACGGCGTATACCCAATAGGCGTGGCAACCGTGGAACTGTGCACAATGGACATGTTCCTAGGCTCTGGAAGCAGGGCCCGGTCAACGAGTTGGAGTTGCACGACATCCAATTTATGCTTTGTGAGCTGCAGAAGTACTTGCACAGCGGCGCCAGCTTGCGGGATTATGCTGGCCCGCCGTGTTTGCAGAACCTGCCCTTGTCCTTGGACTTTGTACAGACGCTCAGATCGGAATTTCTGACTCCCAAGCCAAAGTGTGAAGCTTTTGAGCTGTTGTTGTCTTCCAGGGTTGTGGGATCAAGGGTTTCTCCCCACTTCTGTGATACAAGGGAATCCCCCTTTTTATGAACACTAGCGTTTGGGAAGCCGTTTCTGTTGTATCACAGAAGTGGATTCCATTCCCCACACCCCTGTTGTCTTCGTGTGGCGACCAACATACAAATTTGCAGCTTTTTGGAGCCTGCAGCCCTGGGATTCGAACCGCGATCCAAACCTTCCTCAGAATTAGCTCCCCTTTTTCCTTTTTTTTATTTTTTGGGGTCCCCTTTGTTTTCCACCAACCAGGCAAAACAAAAGAAGAAACAACAACATATTTTTCGCTGGGGTCCTAATTCCAGCCTAGAAGCCGGGTCTGGTTCTTTTTTGGGATTGGGGCGGGGTGGCATTGTTGGGAGCTGTTGTTTTGCGTGCGAGATAGGGCACCAGTTCCTCGATGATATGGGGCCACCCCCCACTTCACTTGTTTTCCTTTTTGTTTTCCGAAGAGCTCGTTTGTATTTGCTCAATCTCGGGACCCGCCCCCCAAAAGCCCTGCCTTTTTGCGGTATTTTAGGGGACGCGAAGGCAGATGCCGCAACGCTGCAATCCACTCACCCACATTCAGGTGGGATTCTACAATGATCTACTTTCGCCCCGCCCCCTTTTTGCTGCAAAATTCCCCCCCCCCCCCCCCTGGCCTTTGTGCGTTGATTTTGGGACCCAAATGGCCGAGGAAGCGCTTGGAGGAAGCCTTGGTGCTGCACCTCTTCACCGCCAAGGAGTCGGATCCGAATTGAATCGGCCTTGTTTCGCGGGAAGCCATCCGGGACGAATCGTTTCTGCCAGCAATCCGGGTAGAAGTGAGCACAAGGGGTGCGACTCTTTTCTCCCCTGCTTGGGTTGCTCTTTTTTGTTGTTGACTCAAAGTGGACTCAGCTCCGGAACGGGGGTTCCAATTCTGTTTCTACCAGGACGATAGAGGAACACCAGAATGCTTGGGTTAGGAGCCATGGTTAGAACTCACGGAAAGGGGACTTGCAACTATGGCTTTGGGGGGTCAGAACCATGGTTACAAAACACTTACCTCATGCACCCGATCGATCGTTGTTTATCTGGAATGGTTCCCCCGCTCCCCATCAAATTGACAAGTATTTGGGGTGTTCCCCTCAATTTGTTTGTGGGCACAAACCATACAGACCTGCAGATTTAGGTTTGGAGGGGTGCAGGGTTCCCATTTGTAGGCGACAGGAAAACCACCCATTCTGGAAACTAGAGGACAGCCAAAAGGTGGCTATTTCTAAAGAATGCCAGAAACAACCACTCATCTGGTCCCATCCTCAGTTTTGGTAAGGTTCGGAGGGTCCGTTCCGTTTCATTTCAAAATCACCACCCAATAATTGGCGGCTTCAGTGGGATTTGGAGGGTCATCCGTTTCCAGGGTAAGCCCAAAACGAACGCCTTCCGGGTATTTCTTTCGGTGGACATTTTCCCTCCGATTGGTTTCGACTCAGGGGGAGGAGAGTGGGCGCATCGCGCGGGAGCTTGCGGATTGGTTGGGCCTACGCCTGCACCAGGGCGAGGAGATCCGGGATGGAGACCACGTGGTGCTGCGCCTTTTGGCTTTCGTCGGTTTAGCCATGTCGGAGGGGGGTGGTCCTCGGTTTTTGGAGTTGGCATCTCTTTTTGGTGGATTTTACCGGGAAACCCAAAGGACACCCATTTTGGCAGGTCACCTACACAAGGGCGTACCCACGTGGGTGCCCTGGTTTGCAATGGCAAACTAATACATAGGTGGACCTCAGCTATTGTCACTGACTCATGTCACAAGGGCACTCCTCTGAGAGACATGGCGCGCTCAAACCAAAATGAGGCTGCCAATGGAAACAAAGCTCGTCAGCTGGAACCTCCCCTGAATGCTTTTCATGGCTTCAGCGTGCAGGAACCCCTTGGAAAAAAATGCACACACACGCGCGAACCACCGTTTTATAAATTAAGTCGGGGGTGCCTGAGTCCCTGAACAGGGTCACAAACGGTGCAAAAAGGGTCACATTAGGTGTGGTTTCTCAAGTGAGAAATATCCAGGGGGAGGAGTTTCTGCATGGGTGCGATGCAAGTAAACATCATATGACAATTGCACCTGTACAGGGACTTCCAACGTTTATTTCCCTTGAGTGTTCGCCCTAATTATTTTCTAGGATTTTTGGGGATCCCTGGTTATGACATTAATTGAGGGGTGGGTGAGTTGTGAGTGAGTGGTCGGTGAATAATGCATTTGTTTTTAAAAAAAGTGAACACACTTCATAGTTGCCAATCAATTTCACAAACGATTCATTTGGGGGGGTCCAATCATTTCTGTGGCATGGAATTGCCTTTCAATCCATCCCCCAAACGCTTACGGGGTATCTGGTTTAATTCTTTCACGCAAATTCAACGCTTAAGTTTCACCATCTCAGTCATCTCACTTGCCCAAAGCGAATCGACCTTTCGGACCTTCTGGTTTCCCATGGTCCATGTTTGGTCATGGCTTCGAGGCGAGGCGGGCTCCGGGGCCTTGCTGGAGTTGGTGAATGGCCTGCTGCAGCCCGCGCAGCGGAAAGCCACGCCCTTCCGGGTGGAGGCGGAGAAACGTTTGGCCTCAAAGGAAGAGACTGAAGCTCAGAGAAAAGCAACCAGAGCGAGTCGAGCCTTTTGACCCCCTGGTTGCCCTGATGTGGTCCCAAAGCGAATCGACTCTTTTGACCCTTTGCCTTGATTTGAGTCAAGGTTCCAAAAGGATGGCCTTTTAGACTTGATCAAGGTTGCAAAGGTGAATCTTTTCATTTCTGGGTCCTTTGCGCAACTGAGAAAAAGAAGAGATTCCCCGCAGATTTGCCTCCAACACAACTCCGAATAAGGTACCTGGTGTGCTTTTGCAAAGAGTGTTGGAAACAACGAACACAGACATGTGGGTATGTGACGAAAGGTCCGTGGTGTTCATAGAAACGTTTTTGCCCAGCCCCACACTCGGGGGCAGGAATGAACACTGGCCTGAAAGAAGATGTAGCCTGTACTTATCAAAATCGGATATGTGGCACGACTAGGGTCCGTTGAATAGTTGCTTGGATGGCTAACTTCTTTGAACATGAAGAAGAGGGCACTAACCAAAATCGTAGGCTACATGCACAGACCAATTTGTCACACAATCTTAGCATTCAACAGCAAATGCCGATTGATTTCGACTTGTTCCTTTTGCCAATTCCATTTGATTGTTGTAATTATTCATTATTCATACTCGCCTAAGTCTACTAAAATTCACTTCCATCAAATGGTGCCTGGGGATTTCCAGCATTATTGTTCTTTCGTTTCATGAGAAGCACAGTGAGAATGACTACCATCGTGAGGGTCCGATTCGGCCAAGCCCAAATGAGGGATCGAATATGGGGTCTGCATTGGAGGAGGTTTGCAATGGAGGGGTTATCAGTCATAAGGTTTAAGAATCCCATCAAAGTCAATCAAGGGTCCATCAAGGTTATAATCTGACTGACAGTCCATCAAGGTTATTGTTCATTGTCAGTCAGAGAATCCTTTCCGTTCAAAGGGAAGGAATCCCAAAGGGTCTGATACCAGGAGAGGCAAGCTCACAGGGTGTTCCCATGTTTTCCATGTTCCCTATCTGCACCAGTTTCTCATATCTCCTCCATTTTTGGTTCTTAATGTTTTGAAACAGAACCTGAACATCTCATTTTCTGTGTACCTCAGTGGGCCAAGGGACTCCAACGTAGGATGCCAGATGCCGGCCTTTCAGGCGCGCTCGGGGGCCTTGTGTGGCCAGGACCCCGTGGGGCTCAGGGATCATGCCCTACCGGCTACGGATGTCGGATGGGAAAGCGACCCAAGCAAATTTTGGGGCAAGCCGGCAAGCCCCCAAAGGTAGAGGGTGGGTCCAGCAATCTTGAGGGTGTTGGTGCCCTCTTTCGAAGGACACCGGCGGGGCTTTTCGAAGCCCTCAGGCCCTGAGGCCCTGAGGCCCTGAGGCGTCAGGAGGGTTTTGGATGAAGATCCTCTTGAACATGGCCCCTTGTCCAGCTCCATGATTGGAGAGATAATTAGGAGTGGCTTCAGGCCCAGTATATCAACTTGGTTCGAACAGCTAGGTTTCCAGGTTTCTCCAAGCAATCAAGGGCAGTTTCAGGCTTTGGAGGTGTGGGGGATATACACACATACATATATACATATATATATATATATATTATACCACTTACAGCAAGGGGTATATACTCCTTTCAAGCTGGTCTTGGTGGTATATAAGCATCCATATCTGCAAACTCCATACCTGCCGTCCTCCATGTTAAGAGGAATGGCTTGAAGCCCGGCCGCCCATCCCAAACCAAGAAGCCCAGCCGCCAGGAGGGCTTCTTCCTGCGCGCGCCCAACGGCGCACACCTGGGCCCCACCTCCGCCTCGAGCGCCTGGGGGGCGCCGGCGCAGAGCGGGCGCTTCAGCGAGGGCCGGGAGCTGTCGGTGGACGTGGGGAAGGTGTCCCTGGGCCAGGCGGGAAGTGGGAAGCCGAGGGAATCTCCGCTCTCCGGGTTTTTCTTGGTGTTTTTGTTGTTTTTTGGGGGGAAGGGACTCCCATGCTTGGTAAGGTGTTAAAGGGAAAGGAAAGCCGATGTCATGTTGGGTCCCAAAAAAGACACCAAGGAAGAGGAAGTGAATTTGAGGCTGAAAGCCTCAAGTTCCCTGACTTGAGGCTCCGAGTCTTATTTCAGGTTGAATGACCGTAAAAAATGGTTCCGTGAAAAGCAAGTGGTAGCGTAAGTGGTAGTGAAATAGGGGGAAGGGCTGGGGTTTGAAAAGCAGAACCCAACAGCGGAGCCCCAAACGATGGAACCGACGGAACTGGGGATCAATCGCCGAAAGTTCACCTGTGAAGGCTCAGGATCGGCCAAATTCCATGTGAGAGGGTGGGGTTCTTTCGGGGCGGTTGAAGGCAAGCCGAAGCGAAACCAAAACAATCTAGGGCGAATCCAACATAGGTTGATTGGTCCTTCAAAGCCACCTGGATGCAAACGGAAACGAAGAGGACACCGTTTTGGAGGGTCACCATTTGGAGACTCATGGGCTTGAGCGCCTCCTCTAGGCACTACTGGCCATGTACATTTCGGGAAGATGGATGGATTTGGAAGGGTCCGTTAAAGGCGTACCACCCTCCCCGTCCCATATGGCCATGGGTCAAAATCCCCTACCCCCAGTGAACATCCCAATCCGCATTAAAATAGGTCCTAAAATGGGTGGTGAATTCACCTACCCCAAAATGGCATCACATTGGTTTTGACCAGCCACAATATGTTGGAAAAGGGGTCGTTCCCCTTTGCATGGTTGTTGGGAAACATTTTACATTTTTGCTTCTTGTGGTTTAGTGGTGGGGAAAAAATGGAAAAGGGGGTCATTCCCCTTTGGCCATCTCTGACTCCAGGCGGTGGTGCTGTGCCCAAAGTGGCAGACCAACGACTCCTGCCCCAAGTGCTTCAAGCTGTCTCTCCGAGTGCGCTTCGAGCGGGACATTTTAACCAAGACCCTGGAAGATGAGCTTTTGGATTTGGTGGAGCAGGTGTGGAGTTCAGACCTAGTTGCTTCGTTTGGATCTGTCTCCAAAAAGACTTTCTACTTTCCGGAAAGACTTTCTACTTTCCGGAAAGACTTTCTACTTTCCGGAAAGACTATTGTGTGTAGTGGAGAACAGCCAGTTTGAACTTGTTGGGCCACTTTGCCAAGAAAGTGAGTGCTTCAGTTCAAAGGAACATGAAGCTTCATTGGGCTTGTTTTGGTCATGTCAGCTGGATGGATATTTCAATGGTTGCTTTGGTGCATGCTGCTTGGATGTTAGGACTTTAACTTTTTGCCAACTAATGGGTTTTTCATTAAACCCACTAAAAGTTAAACTTTTCGCAGGGGAGCAGAAAGCAAGCGAGGTTGATTTCGCTTTGGGGGCTCTTCGCAAGATCAGCGAGAGACACTTCCAAACTTCCACGCTGGAACTTGGCTCCGAGATCGAACCTCCCAGCTTGAGCCAAATGGGAAGGCAACCCGAAGCTCCAAATCACCGCTGAGGGGAATGAGGAACTGAATGCAGCCAGTGGAAATCATTGGTGGTTTGCGAATCACTCGAATCCGAGCCCCAGATCGATGCTTGGATTTGGGCGCCCCACCTCATTCCCTTTCTGGGTCCCCTTACCCTTTTTTGGGGGAGGGTCCCCCTCTGAAATAGACTACAGAAAAAACAGGTCCCCTTTTTCTAACCTCTCTACTGGAGGACCAACCTGGCGGAAAAAAAACAGGTCCAGCTAGCTTCCTGCCAGGTGGTGCGCCTGAAACTGGGCACGGACGATCTGGGCCAGCTCTGCGCGCTGGACCCCGGCAAGGTGCGCGCGCGGCTGATCGGCTGCGAACCCAGCTGGACGGACCGCCCGGACTGGCAGACCCGGTCTGCGCGCCTGACTGGAAACTGGGAGCAGGAGTCTTGGCTCGAGTTGTTGACAAGTTTGGGCACATGAGAAAGCGCGTGTTTTCTTTTTGTGCGTTCACATTTTGCCTCCCTCTAAGCCCCTCCCCCCCAGTCTGCAACCGCCCTTGGTTTCCCCTTAAAGTAAAGGAGCTTCTCGGGTCTTATTTGCGGGATACAAGAGTTTGGGAATTAGGGGAGGGGGGTTGAGATTTTACGGGTTTTGTTTTTTTCCTCAACTAGTTTCAAGGCATATGAAGGTACACGAACCAACAACAAGAGCAGGTTTGCCTTGCAATAGCTTGGTAGCCCCAGGCCAAAGCAGCTTTCTACTCTGCCGCGTATTAACATCGAAACCCGGTAGACCACAATTCTACAAACATATCCTTTTTGGAGACCCCCCCCCCTTTGGTTGGCGGGGTTCCCCAACAAACTGACAGCAAGTCTCTTCGTTTGGCAGGGCAAAGACCAAGCCAGGACTGCGGAAGTCTGTGATTCGACGAATGCCATGTTTTTATGCGGACCTGACAAAGTGCTTAGCCCGCCGAGAAAAGATGAAGCGACGGTGGGATTGAGGCTTAGAATGAGAAAGCTTCCGTGGACTGCACAAGGCACAAGTTTCTGCCTTTCTGAAGGCCAGAGTTTGCAATGTCAATATGTTGGCCACGGATCAAACCAGGTGGATCGTCAGGGTTATGGTTTCCGCGGTAGAAACAGATTCTCTAAATGGGGCACCTATGAATCCACCAGAGGTCGACTCATCCTTCCCATTAGCCCAGCGCAACCCCCCAGCCTGGTGAAACAGGCTTCATGGTCCCGTAGGAGATCCAAGTCCTACTTCGGGTTTTGGATTTTGATGAAAATTTGCAGATGGATGGAGCGGCTCCCAAGTTGTGGACCCTGAACGCCGTGGCATGCGGCAGCACCTTCGGAGGGGATCCTCGACTTGGGCCATTTGAAGCATTTTCGTCTCCACCAGAGCAGGAAGTTCATCATTTTGATCGCTTGGGATTAATGTTCAGGTGGACATGGTGGATACCACGCCCTTGGTAGCTTGGCCGTTCTTAATTCAAGAGGTGAAACGAAGGAATCGTTGTGATCCGTCTCTGGAAGTCGGCGTGGGCACATGCCACCTCTGAGATGCGCACCGTTTTCGCCTCAAGCCGTACGGAGGGCAGCGAATCGTGAGCCGAAGGTTTTTTAGCCGAGAGTTCGTGGCAAGTAATCAACCGCTACTCAATACCATTCGTACGGTTCGGAGATGTTTTTCTGATTGGCACCGTTGAACTTACCCAAACCTATGCTGACACAAAAAATCTGAGAGCTGGTGGGGAGCGGGGTTCCGAACCAGCCGCGCTCATGGTTCTGGCCTTAGCCTGAACCTCCGACTTGGGCCTGGGCGGCTGTATTGCAAGCTGTTCCTAGAAGATGGTCAAACCATATCTTCCACTTGCTGGAACAATGGTTGTTCATTGTCCCCTGTTGGTTCTGAAGGGAATCTGCTGGAGTTTTGTTGTTTTTTCCAGGGCTCTTAAGCAGCTCAAGACGCCGTCGAGTGGAAACTAAACCTGTAGCAGCAGGGATATATGGCAGCTTCCTTTGGATTTTCTTTACCCAACTTCTACCCTTGCACCGATCGGGTCAAACGGGAGCTTTTGAAAAGATGAGCCGTGATGAGCCCTCTGTTTTCAGGGAGGCTCCGGGTTGCCGCTTTGCGGGGAGCAGGCTTGTTTCAAAATCAGTGAGTTTGCACCCACCAAACTGGCCAGGGCTTTCTTTTGAGGCATCAACAAGCGCCAAAAAGTACTCGCACAAGTATCTACACATTTTGTCTCCCCACCAAAAAAGCACAACATCGTCCCGTGCCTTGCCTTTATCTTCGAGGCAATTGGCACCAGCCCTGCGACAGCAGAGCCTGCCGGGATCGCTAGTTTTAGTCGGCAGTTCAGACGAGGCATCTCTCAAGGGGCCCCAATTTCGCAAGTAAGGGAATAACTTGAAACTCCGTTGCCGTAATCAATTCACGCTCGGATTTTGCGGTCGAGTCTGGTTGGCTTTTTCTGTACTTGAAACAGCAAGGTAACTTCCGAATCCTTCCAGAAAACTGCAGCATATCCATGAAACACCATTGCTTTTTGGAAGGAGCGATGGTTGAAACAACATGAGAAGCCCACCCTTAGAGCTGAAAGAGGATTCTTGGTCGCGGCTACAAGGGTTCATTGGTTTAGGACTTTGCCATATATCATACTCTGTCCAGTGTTGGCTTTAAGCATCACCGTGTGGGGACTTGAAAGTGAGCTCGCATTGGGGGGCAGGCTGGTGGTTGGGGGATAATTTTGTTTTGGGGAGACCCTGAGGCCATCACTGGTTTGCAAAGTGCTTGCAAAATTCGAGCGAGCCGCAGGCGTCCGGCCGGCCGATGGACACTCCCACGTTCGCAGTCTGCCCTGTCTGGCCAAAAAGGGACGGTGCCGGTGGGTCAACATCCCATACCCCCAGTGCACATTCCAATCCCCACTAAAATAGGTTCTAAAATGGGTGTGAATTCACCTACCAACCAAAATGGGAATGGGATCCCATTGGTTTTGACCCCCAGCCATATTTTTTGGGGAGAGCTGAGGTCTTTTTTGGGGTCCGGGGCTGCACAAAAGTGGCTCACCAGGCCTTTCTCGTTGCCTGATTTACGCGCGAGGTGGACTCCTTGTCGTCGCTGCCGCGGGAGGTTCTGCCGCGAGCCCTGAGAGGGCTGTACATGGAAACGAACATCACCTTAGATCCCCCAGTGCATTTCACCAATTCTTGCAGCACTGTTCATTGTTAATCCAGAAAACGGTTTGGATGTGGCTTGTGTGGATTCACCCCTGTAAGATAACACGGGGGGAAGAACAGGTGAAAACACTAACAGCGCATCCAAGCCGTTTTCTAGAGTGACTCTCCCACCAATTAACACGGAACCTGACAAGGGGGTCCCTTTGAAAGGAAAATGGTCTTCCAAATCTTCCAGGTCCCCTCCCTGTCAGGTTCCATGTTGATGGGTGGGAGGGTTTAGCAGGGGAAGTTACCAGTGTGGCGCAAGCCTAGAGACAGCTCAGGAAATGGCTTCAGAGCTTGGACTTGTCCTATAGGCGCGCCGAATTCGGAATGGGGACAAGGCCCCAAGCGACTTTTAGCGATGGCTATACTGGCTGTGGCGTGAATGAATTTGCGACCTGACATTTTGAGATTTGGTTTGCGACCTCATCCATGAAGGTTGAATTCTTGGGGTCCGTTTGTTTCAGGTTGGCGTGCTAGAATTTCTCCAGACGGCTTAGGCATTTTCATGCGTTTTGCACAGCTGCCGCAGTGTGCGAAACGTGAAGCGCGACTTTGCCAACGGCTTCCTCATTGCCGAGATCTTCTCGCGATACCACTCGCAGGAAGCCGCTGCACTGCACGAGCTTGGTTTCCTTCCATTTGCTTAAGAATATTTTGATTTTCCCTTGTTGGTTTTAAAAGGAATTTATCACTACTGAACACAATTTCATTTTTTTCCAGGGGTCTTAACCAAATGAAGTTTTGTAGCCGGATTTTGCTTGAGCCTAGGGGCCAATCCACTCATTTCCTTGCTTTTTCCAGGGCCATGTTTGAGACTTGATTCAGAATAGCAACCTGAGATTGATCCGGACCCATTGGCGGTTCCCTGTCTGGTTCCGAGTATGGTGCTCCGGATGAATCAGCTACTGCCACCTGGCCAGAGGCTGGGAACCTGTCTGACACGTAGCCTTGTATGACACGTGGCCTTGCTGGCGGTACAACACGGCGATTTTTTTTGTCAGAGGGTATCCCTTCAACCAAAGGAACGCCGAGGCCCCAGTTTTCAGGCACTTAATCCGTGACTTTTGAACCCCAGTTCATGTTTGAAGCCAAACGGGAAAAGTCCCTCCCGAATGTCCACACCGCCAAACCGCACCAGCAAATTTGGACAAGAAAAAGTCTGGCGGCCCCCCCCGGTTTCCTCCATCCATCCACAGGACATCTCCATGCACACCTTCGACAATGGCCTAAAAGAGGCCACCCGGAAGGACAACTGGGAGCAGCTTTTCAGGCGCTTCGGATTTGGGGATGGATTTCGGCTGGTTGGAGTTTGGGTTGGAAACAACTAGCCATGGACATTGAGCCAAGGAGCCATACTTGAATTTTAGCTAGATAGGTAGCCAAAGAGCCGCATTGCCTCAACATCATTGGATTGATCAATAATTGTAACATACTACTGATCAACTGTTGTTTGAATCTCTTGGATTCCTTTCAAGGCCCAAGTCCCCGCAAAACCCGTCTTCCTGGTTTCCTAAGCAGCGACACGGGGGCTGGGGGGAGTGTTGTGGCTTCCCCTAATTCTTCTCAGCGGGCGCTGAGCGGACGGATCCGGAGTCCAGCGGCCAGGTTCTTCCGCAAGCAAAACTACCCCATCTCGAAGGCGCTCCAAGAGACCGTCGGCCATGTTTATGGCGGTTCACCATGTATAACTCCCTTGCCCTGCCCGGGATGTTTGATTTCAGATTCAGTAAACCGTGCAGAAGGAGGGGGAGTGATCCTCAGGGCTACAGCGGGCTGACCCTCTTCCTAAAAATCGTGGAAATGGAGGGCGTTGGGACCATCCTCTCGTAAAGGCCGCATCTCTGGGGGGTTGATGGGCCCCAGTTGACTCCCTCATACTTCCTTGGAATACCTCGGTAGAACCTAAAGTCAACAGGTGTTGAGCGCTGCGACTCAGCGAGAACCGCCAACTTTCGTCAGGGGGAGTTCGAGCCAGTGATGAAGAACCAGCATGGCGCCGCCATCGCCCTGCTCATCAAGCACCCCGGGCGCCATTTGTTCTTTTAGTGTTTGTGGTTGTGTGTGTGTGTGTGTGTTTTGAAGGAACCACGTTTGCGATTGGCTCAAAGGGAAACCACAAGGAAACCAACCATTTTGGGAGGTCCCTATTTTGACACAGACCCAATTGAATTGTGATGTTCCGTACAAAGTCCAAGGCTTGTGTCCTGTTTGCTTTGTCACTGTGGCACGTTTGGATGGCTTTGGGCCGTCTACACGCGTCCTTGGAAGAGGTCTACGCTCAATTTGTTTTTTGTGATACGCTGCGCATAGCACGTGTTTGACTGTACACTTGGAGTGATCAAGAAAGTTCGAAGTTGGCAAACAAAAACGTGTGGAGACCAAAAGGAAGATTTCCCCAATGGCCTGGGACTTGTGTTGTTTTTTCACTCGCCACATACCAGTTGGATTCCTTTGCTTTCAATGTGGCTCTTTTTTGATGTACCAGAGCAATCTATCTATTAATTGAATGATTGCTAGACTTCCCCACATACCCTTTGTTTTGTTTTGCCCTTTTTGTTTGGGTTTCCTGATTTCCATTTTTGACCAGCAACAAGTCAACTTTGGGGGCGCAAGATTGTGTCAGGATCTACACCTTGCTGACCAATAGGACAGTCCCTGTCTTCATGGTGGAGGACAGTGCGCTGGATTTGTCGTGGAGTCTTCGACCTTGTTGTTGTCTCAGAATGAGTGGACCCAAAACTGGCAGAGGTCTTCCTTTTGTGCTTTCAGAATCAAAATGGGGGGTCCCGAACAACGGGACATCCAATTGGCCAGAATGAGGTTAGACTTCCCCAAAAGTGGCTCTTGTCCCCCAAAACTGGCCTGGCGTTTGGGTTGGGACGGGGCCGCAAGAAACATTCGCGTTGTTTGATATTCTTTGCATCACAGATCCACAAGTAAATTTCCCTGCCAGCTGAGTCAGCCCAGTTGCCTTGTTTCCTTTCTTGGGAAGGGTGTTCCTTTGAAATAGTGAAATCAACCAAATAAGAAGGTGACTGGACCCTCAAACTACCAGGAACAATTGTAAACGCTTCGCGTTGCCCGCCTCGGCCCAGCCTAGTTTGAGGGAAGGGTCAGGAACACCGAAATCCAGTGTTGGGAAGGTCCGAATACCTGAAGCTGGCTCCAGACAAGTCAGACAAGCCGGCCTCGCCTGGTTGGGCTGGGCCACATGCGCTGGGCCTGAAGCTAGTCTCGGGCAGCTTGGCTGGACCTTGCTTGCGTGGGTTGTTGGTTGAGCTGAAGCTAGTTTACGGCGGGCTGGGCAGCCGCACTGAGGGGGCTGGGCTATGGCTGGGCTGGGCCTGAGGCCAGTTTCAGACACGTCAGACAGGCCTGGCCAGCAGGCGGACTGGGCTGGGCTAGACGCTAGTTGAGCCCAGGCTGGTGAGGCCCAGTCTCGGCGCTAGATAGGCTGAGGCCTGCGAGTCTCAAACCGGGTGGGCTTGGGTGGGGTTGGCTTAGGCGGGTTGCTGGTTGGGCTGGGCCTGAAGCTAGTCTCAGCCACGAGGCTGCGAAGCCATGGGTGGTGCTGGGCAGCTGGATTATGGTGTTGGTTGCGCCTGGAACTTCGGCTGGCTGGGCTGAGCTGTGCTTGGGCGGGTTGCTGGATGGGCTGAGGCTGGGTAGCGAGTTGCTGGCTAGACACGTAAGACACGCCAGCAGGCGGGCTGAGGGACTGGGCCTGAGGCTAGTCTCAGGCTGGCATACCTTGAGACCAGTCTCAGACTGCGCCGAAGGGGCCTGGTCAGCCTGGGCTGCTGAGTAGCTGGCATAGCTTGAGACCAGTCTCAGAGGCCAGTCTCAGACATGTTAGACAAACCTGACCTTGGCACACTGGGCTGAGCCTGCTGGTGGGCTGGGAGCTGGGGGCGGTAGTGGCTGGCATGCCCTGAGATGCGCTGGGGCCTGGGCTGGGCAGGCTTTGGGCTGGGCCTGAAGCTAGTCTCAGCCACGAGGCTGCGAAGCCATGGGTGGGTTGCTGGCTGCCGGGCAGCCGGACGCTGGTTGTGCCTGGAACTTGGGCTGGGCGGGCTGGGCTGAGCTGTGCTTGGGCGGGTTGCTGGATGGGCAAGGCCTGTTTCATACACACTTGGGCCCGAGGCTGGGTGGCGAGTTGGCTGGGCTGGGCCTGAGGCCAGTCTCAGGCTGGCGTACTTTGAGACGGGGCTGGGCCTGCTGGATGGCTTGGGGCCAGACGCAAGCAGGAGGGGCTGAGTTGCTTGGGCAGCCGGACTGAGGGGGCTGGGGCACGTCAGACGGGCTTGGTGGCTGGCATAGCTTGAGACCAGTTTCAGACACGTGAGACTGGGTCGTTGGCGTTAGACAAACCTGACCTTGGGGCCGGCCTAGGGCCTGGGCTGGGCGCTGGGCTGGGCTTGCTGGATGACTTGGGGTAGGCCTGTTTCAGACAAGCTTGGGCCTGAGGCTGGGTGGGGCTGACAGGCCTGGCCAGCAGGCGGGCTGCTGGTTGGGCTGGGCCTGAGCCTAGTCTCAGACACGTCAGGCAGGCCTGGCCACCAGGAGGTCATGCTTTTCAGGACAAAAAAGCAATTTTTTAGTGATTTTCGCAATTGTCAGCACATTTTCGACAAAAATGGACCCATGGAGCTGGACGCCGACGAACCCCGAAAATTTCAAGGCCCGCCGGACAGGATTTTGGGCCAGCCGACATGGGTTGGGGGGGGGGCCCGGCAAAATTTTGGTCGGGGAGGGGGTTGGGGGAGGGGAAAAGCGAAGATTCTCTTTGGAGAAGAGATCTGAGCGCCCTTGGCCCCTTTGGGGCCGAGGCGAATTGTATATTACTCAATATTCTGGGGGTGATGCTCCCTATGTGAGCGTAGTCTGAGGGTCCAGCATGTGAGTCCACAGAATTCCTTTTCGTCATTTCGCCATTCGCGGCTTTGAGGACTTGCCCGAGGATGCTGGCAGCATGAGCAAGAAGGCGCGAGCGAATCGCGTGGCATCAAGTGTCTGGACTTACTTGGATCGGACCTCTACAGAATCTAATTTTGCGGAGTTCCGGTCGAAGGACACACATCAAGCACCCCGAAAGGAACCAATGAGAGACCATGTAGGGTCAAACTTGGACATGTGGCCATGGGTCCAAACCCCGTACCCCCAGTGAACATCCCAATCCCCACTAAGATAGGTTCTAAAATGGGTGGTGAATTCACCTATCCCAAAATGGGATCCCAAAACGGTTTTGAGCCACGGCCATGTGACCGACCAGCTTTCTTTTTTCAAGATCTCACTCCCATGGGGTTCCTGGACTTGATTTGTTGGACGGGAATTGAGAGTTCGAATATTTTTTTGGGGGAACATCCGCTGAGTGAACTTCGGGCGATTCCGATGCTTCGCCGTGGCAGCATAAGACCGTGTCACCTTGGGATCTCAGCAGAGGTAGGTTGAGGCATTGGCTCATGGACACCAGAGAGCAAGCACTTCTCTGATCAACACGAAACGGGTCCCGAATGCCTCATTTGTAGAGGAGGCAGACGAGTCTTGTTCTTTTGGGACTCCCTTTTGGGTCCGCGAGCTCTTCTTGCCTGCAGATGGCAGAGACGCTGCTGGAGCCTCCTTCCAGTGCTCCCATGGAGGCGGGGGTGCAGCAAGAAGCACTTTGCAGCCAGCGTCATGGTGCCCTTTGTGCACCTTGTGGCCAGCTGTATTGTTCAAAAACCACGCACAAAGCACATGCTTTCTGAGTATGCATCCAGTCAGTGGTCATTATCCTTGTTTAGGGTTGAGGTACACAAGCAAATTGAATGTGAGAGCACATAGCCTCCAACAATCACGGAAGCTGACGGTCGCGTTCGAAAGCCCTTGGGTCCCACTTCGTTGGAAAAATCATCCGCTCGTGACGCGTCCGCTGCGCCAGCCCGCGGAAGAAGTGCGGGAGGAGAATCACCGGCAAGATGCCTATCAGATCTTCCAGGCACGGTCTGGTAAAAACAAACATTTCCAGGGGTACCCATTTCAAGGCTGGCTAAAGGGAAAGCCAGAGCGAAATATTTGG